TTAGGCTGCTTCAGTGTCTGCACCAACTCAGCCACCTGCTGCTCTAACCCGGATCTGGCCTCTATAGCATGCACACCACGGTCCCGGGAGTGCCTGCCTCTGCTGCTCTGCCCCCAGGAATGATCGCGGGCAGCCAAAGTACTGATCATCTGGTTCAGCTCGGGTGGAGTCTTAGTAAGGATATCCCCTCCTGGGCATAGAGACTCGATCACCCTCTGGCTGTCTGGGGTGATGGCACTGTAGAAGTTCCCCACTGTGAAAGCATCGCTGAAGCCATGATGGGGACACTGCCAGAAGTATCCCATGTACCGCTCCCATGCATCACGAAGGGACTCATCTGGCTCTTGGCGGAAGTGAGTGATCTCCCGCTGAATCTCAGTAGTCTTCGATGCCGGATAATATCTGTGCACGAACTTATCCGCCAGATCGTCCCAAGAAGTGATGGACAGTGGGGGCTGGGTCTCCAACCACCTCTTAGCATTCCCCGCCAGAGAATGGGGGAAGAGGTGAAGGCGGATTGCATCATCCGGAACACCATTCAGCTTGAACCCGTTTGCCAGCTGCAGAAAACGGGAAAGGTGTGCCCGGGCTTCCTCGTCCTTCAAGCCATGGAACTGGATAGAGGATGTGATGAGCTGAATCCAGCCTGGCTTGATCTCGAAGTTATTTGCTGGGACGGGTGGATAAAGGATGACCGGGTGGATGTCAGCAATCCGTGGAGTGTAGTAGTACTCCAAGGTGGGACCCGGCGGTGGTGGTGGACGCTGATTCACCGGGGGAGCCTGTCGAGCATTCCCCGGTTGTGGGATGTCTTCGCCCTCCATCTCGTACTCTTCCTCAGAATCGCTGGTCAAGTGGCCGTCTATGCGCTCTCCCGTAACCAGTCTAGCTCGCTGCTGTCTCCTAAGTTGGCGGCAAGTGCGTTCAAGCTCTGGATCCAACGGCAGTAAACCTCCTGACTGGCTACGGGTCATGCACTACCTGCACACACTCAAGCAAGCAAACCCGTGAAGGCACAAGTGGGACAAAGCAAACAACGCAAAAAGAAAAGCTAAATTAACAGAAATCACTTTTCTTCAACAACCTAGCCGTCCCCGGCAACGGCGCCAAAAACTTGACTCACTTCTACTGTCACCCTAGAAAATGGCCAAGTGTAACCACTTCCTAAAGCGTAGTATAGCGGGTTTGGGTTTCAATGTCAACCCGGGTCCTAGATTTGCTGACTACTCAATGAGTTCTTGTTATCTAGCAATAAAACTGGAGTGCAAGTCTAAACTACCAAACAAACAAAGCAAGTAAACTGGTTGTATTCAGGTTAAAGAGGTCACCCGGATATGGTTCCCCCTAGTCTGCAGTTAAGCCGGATTGTAATTACCAAGTTCAGTTTCTATGAAGATTATACTGCGGAAGGTTCTTAAACAGCCTGAAGTCTCGACTAAAGGTCTTCAGACCCTCTCAATCTGACTCTCTAGCGGGCGACTAACCTCCACCGGAGTCGACAGATTGAGGCCCTAAGAACAAAACCTCCACTACCGGAGTAAATCCGGTACAGAATAGTGAGTTGGCTCCTCGACTAAAGTCACCAACTCCCTACCTTCAATCAAGGATACTCTATTAACCTAGGCAGATATTCTCATTCTAGGTTAAAGCAGAAACAACAGGAATTTGATCAGGATTCAAGTCATTCAATCATAAAACCTCAATCGAATAGAATCAATCACAGAATCAGTACTTGGGTTCATACAATCAATCTCAACATACAGAACTAGGGTTTCCCACACCCAGATGAATGGGAGAACTACTCCATGGAGAGAGAAGCAAAAGCAGAATCAGACGCGGAAATCATACTGTGAAGATGGATTTCTGCTCCTGGACGTTGAATCGGCACTTCTCCAAGCTCAAACCAAGCTCCAATGGTGTTGAAGATCGATCTAGGGCACTTGGAGACTCTTGTTCGTCGCTTTCTCTCTCTAGGAATCGTTCTATCTCTCTAAAACTCGAATCCCCTCTCAATTTGGCTGAAATCAGCCTAAAAGGGCATCATTGGCCAAAGCACTGTCGAGGGCACGGCCGTGCTTTGCCTCAGCCCGCCCGTGCTTTGGCTAGGGTTAATTACACGGCCACATGTTGGTGAAAACACGGCCGTGCTTTTGGGAAAACACGGCCGTGCTTTGGGAAAACACGCCCGTGCTTTGTCTCGGCCCCGCCCGTGTAATCAGCTCATGTCTGCCAAACTCGGATTTGCTCTCGGCAGTAAAAGCACGGTCACAGAACACGGCCGTGTTTTGAAGGCCTCCTGCCCGTGTTTTTACTTCCGAACCTGTTCTCCTATATTCAATGCTTCGTTTCTCCCTCGTCCGGACTCCGAATCAGTCGCCGTTTGATCCCAGACGCTCGTAATCTCGTCCTCTTTCTTTCCATGTCAAACTTGCACGATTCTTTGTCCATTAAGTGAGGTAGAAATCCATTCTTCTTCAGGTCATGCCAGAGTTTCATCTCCCGAATCGCCAATTGATCTCTGATTGACTTGAAACTTGCGCCTATGCTTCACTTTATGTGCTAGGACCTGAAATGTGACAAAGGAACACAACCTAGCGTAAAATAGGCCAAAGAAGCAATAATGCAAGCTTAAACGATCAAGGAACAAAGGGGAAAAACATGTACAAATATCGAGTCATCAGGCCATCCTTGAGAGTCAACTGAATTTTGTAGTTGAGAACACACGCAGAGAACAACAACAGTGTCAGAGAAGTGAGGACCGATGCACATGACTTCAGACAAACCACATGAGGCAAGTGAAGACGCGCACCAAACACGTGTTTGTTCTTCCTGGAGTTGCCAATCTTTGGCACACCAGAAAGAATTGTCGCGCCTCCTTGAAACTGCCTTAAGACACATACGACATGAATTGTAGTACCAGGGTATGTGCGACTCAACATCAACAATGACTCCACCACATCGATGCTTCTCCTCCTATTTTAAAAAACCAGTAAAACGGCCAGTAAAAAAACACAAACAGGCAATCCCGAAAACCGCAATTGTATTGAGCAAAAACATCCGCACCATATTAGCATTCGTCTGAGACAACTGAACCAGCTGAGCAAGGGTCTTTGTTCTGCGTTCAGCATCTGCAACAGCATCCACAACAGTCGCAAACTCAACTGGCAGAGAAGCAACCACCGCGGGAGCCTGAGCAAACCTGGAGGAACAAAAAAAAACACAAAAAGAAAAGCAAAAGGCACCAGCTCAGAGAAAAATTATAACCAAACAACAGACAGTGCAGTGATGGCCAACGAACCTGGTTGCAAGGTGGTATGCCTTTGGAACTGGTGGATTGACAGCCACACGGGTGGCAGCCGAACTTGACAGGACATAAGAACCTGAGCAAAAAAAAACAAAAAACAAAAACACCGCAAGTTAGTCGACAGCGTGAAACCAGGCCCTACAGTGAAGGCAAGAGGCCCCCACAAAACACACACGCACTTCCCAGTCTGTTAACCAATAGGCCCCCGAATGCCAGAATGATAAGCTCTATCGCATCCGCCTGGGTCAGAGCAACATGGTCGAGAATAGCCGAGAACTCATCCCACAAAGTTATGGTTGTCTGCTGACCACTGCAAAAGGAAACAAACAGCGAGAAAGGGACGGTGTCACCAGCAGAACAAAAAAGCGAGTCCCGATAAGTTAGAACAACAAAGACAAACCTCTCATCCTGCAGAACAACCGTCTGCTTGACGGTGGGGCCACTGTTTGTGATTTTGTGTGATATCCCGCTAATTGAGTGGAGCCGGCCAACAACATCTGAAACAGTGAATGGTTAGCGACAAACAGCGTTCGTAAACCACGGAATAGACAAGGGATGAGACGGCGATCCAGGAGAAAGGCGGCACGGAAAGTAAACAGTACCGGTAAGCAAGCGATGATCACCGTTACGGGAGGGGGTCTGAGAAAACGACAGGAACTCGTAAGCATCCTTTGGGAAACTCTCACAAGGGAGAGTGCATGCAGTGAAAGAAGTAGACGGAGTGATTGAGAGGGCCAGATCGAAAGCACACGCGCGGTACAAATTAGGCGGATTGGTCAAACCAAAAGACCGGATGACATATATCTCCCCGACACGCAGACACCGGCGGATCCCAGAAGTCATCGCAGGCGGCGAGAGGGCGTGGATGAGCACACCCTGTACAACCAGCAACGGAGGTGAACAACGCGAAACCACGATAATCAAACCAAAACCAATAACTAAAGAAGACGGTCAGCGAAGAGCAAGACTCACGGTTTCGTCCACCCACAGGCTGCAGTAGTTGTAAACCCTGGAATCGCCGGGTGATTTCGCAGACCACATGTGAAGGAGACGGAGGCGCAGGACAACATTAGGTTTGTGAGGGCCGCCGAGATTGCACAGTAACGTATGTTCCATTTCTTAGAGAGAAGCGAGAGAACGAAAGAGCGTTTAGTCGACCGAAAGTAGAGTGAGAGAAACAGAAAGAGGTTCCAAGCAAAGGCGCAGGCACCACAGCTCAAGTGGACGACGGGGTCGAAGCAACTAACGCAGATACAATCATCACCCCAAGTGACAGGGGCGATCAAATCAACCCGCATCACAACCCCATGCGGCACAGTCAAATTAAAGAGAGAGAGGCGAAGTGAAAGATCAGAGACAGAGGAGAAAAGTTGCCAGACACTTGAGGCCGGCGCGATCTCCCAAAGAATGCAGGCCGAGCAACAGAGAGAACAACGGAGTGGGCAGAACAGAGAGGAAACGACGGCACGTGGGGGCCCACGCATCGAGCTGAAGCACCCCGGACCCATCCCGCCAGCGCAGCCAATCAGCTTTGAATGAATAGTAGAACGTGTCTGGGTGAACAGTCAGATGAGTCTGGGGCTACAGTGATAGGGTGTTTGTGCGATTAACTCTTCTTAATAATAAAGTGAAATAATTTCCTTTATTTTTCGATCCTAAATCTCAATTCTCACCACATTTCCGTTGTGCCCAACAAATAAAGACGCAGCAAGCGATTCTTTTCTATTATTGAGTAAACATATATATAGTACAGGAGTGGCAGCGGTACATGAGGAACAGAAAGAACTGATCAGAGGATTTATGTAGTATAGGAGCACGTTACAACAGAATAGGAACGTTATACAGTAGAGAGAGGTGGCTGGACATACGGATTGGTTATCAGACATGCCCTTTCCGTGGAAGGTCGAAGGAAGCTCTTCGCTGAAGCTCCGGCCAAGAAGAGCAGAAAGCCACCACGACCACAGGAACCAGTCCTCAAATTAACCATAGTCGAAGAGGTTAGAGGTGTCGTCAGCTGACAACGACGACGGGGAAGAAGATCAGCTGCTCTTCGACGAGTACGAGCTCGACGACGGTAAATTATCACTGGCTCTCTCTAATTTTCCTCAAAATTCCGGTCGCATTGCTCAATTTTGAATGTGGAATTGGTAGAGGAGTTGCTAGAGGATGTTGAGGATGAAGGTGATTTCGAAAATGTGTGTGTAGAAGAAGATGATGCGCTACTTCAACTAAGTTCGAATTGGTTTCTGTTTGGACTCTAGAGTGAAATTAAAAGGAAAAGGTGCCCTAAATTATGATCATACTTGGCTTTTTTGAGGAAAGTTGGGGATGGGGTGGAATAGCCCTAGCTGCAACGTGGTGGGACAACGAAGCATTAGCAATAGCTGAGCAGGTATGTATGTCTGTTGTCTGAAGGGGAATTGGGAATGTATGCTTCCAGGACGCTATCAAATCCTCAGGTATCATCTCCTGGTGTTGAAAGAGTGTTTCGGATCCCTGAAGACATTGATCGATTCAGGGACCGGCCTATGTATGTAAAGTATGTCAGTCAGGCAGTCAGAAAGGAACAGATTCTGCCTCAAAAAGTGATGGCATCTTCAAGCTTGTTTCATTTGACGAGGAAATGAAAAGTTGCACCTGGGGTCTGGCAGATGTAAGGATAAATAGAAAGAAATCTGTGAAGGGAAGACTACTTAGCAAAAAGCAGAGAGAATGGCATCTGAATACGCCTTTTGAGTCGTTGCACGAATCTTCTACCAGTGAATTATGATGTATGAATGTTGCCTTCTGTTCCTATATCCTTCTCTCCCAAGATCAGTGGATAGTTCCATAGGCGGATTGCTTGTTGATCAGAATATGAGTCCATGCGCAAAGGATTTAGTTCTCCTATAAGGTGACTTCAGACTAAATGTCCGGTATATGATGCAATTCCGAGAGTAGAAAGAAAACTGCAAATGATTGGGAACCTGACCCTGTTCACATTTTTTCCTAGCCATGAAACAATCAAGAACTTGCAAGACATCTGATACACTGCTCTGTCTTATGAAAAGGTACAACCGGGTATGTATTGTAGCTTCAAGTGTTAAAAGGCACAGGTTGCTGTCTTACTTATGTTAGTGATAGATCAAGGAGTAAAACATAGAGCTTTTTCTTTTTCTGGAGGCTCATGTTCTGTTTCATTTATTTACTGTTATCATTTTTATTTACTGCACATCTTGGCATATGAAGAGTTAACATATAGCAGAGTGAACTGAACCTCCCTATTGTTTTCCATAGATAATTTATTCTTTCGAGTTGCATACTTCACATTGTGATTAGGGAGCAATGATTGGGATTAGTGTTTTTCACAGTTATGTTAAGCTCCCCACCTGGGAAGGTGCTTAAAGTAATAGACTAATACTGTACCACAATATCCACAACATTGAATTAGGTTTATCTTGGTTTGTCAGGCACTTACCGCCGGTTTTCCCGAGACTTCTTCATACCTTGACGCATTTGAGGACTTAACATGATTGTCTTCAAGTTGTCTGTACTCCTGTGGGTTTGCCAATTAATATTTTTCTTGTTTACCAAGTAATCCACACAGTGAATCCGTAGTATGAAATGTTTTCATGAGCAGACCGCTGTTTAGCTCGGCAGTTGCTGATTCGGTGATCAATGAATGAAAAGTGTGCTTCTATCATTCACGGGTAAGTTTCCTGGATCGTGATTACCGTGATGGTATCCCAGGTCCAGAGTCTCTGTCATTTTCCCTTTCTGTCCGAGCTTTCACTTTGGTCCGTGGACCTGTTAATTTTCATTTCCTTGCACTTTTCTTCCTCGTCCTTCTTTCATTGATCTACATTCCGATGCATTTGGATATAGAAACTAGAAAATGTTTACTTTACTTATTATTTATCCTGGTCAAATATGTTTTCATTTACCGTTGCTTCATTTTACTGGAAGTACAGTGTTCTGAAGCCAATTCATCAAAAGCTTTTTTCTGAAAGGGAAAGTTCAAACTAAGTCATGAGCACAAGAACTTATCTGCATTATGAGAATGTTGCTAGATTAGGATTGTAGGACCAAAGAGCACCACCTGCTTTTATATAATTGACCTTTTTACCAATTTTCACTTTACTACTCTTTTTCCTCGTGCACAGAAGGAATGATTTGTATTGTCTGCTCGTGCATTTTTCTGTAAGACCACAAAGTGTAGTGATTGGCTATTTCCTATTTGGCTTCATAGTTTTAGAATTTTTTCCTTCAATTTCAGTACTTTAATGGGAAAGAGAAATAGGCATACGCATATAATCACTTTTAGGCTGGGAAATTGGGTTCGGTTTTTTCGGTTTAAGCCAAAACCGAGCCGATACGAATCTTACTGATTTTTGGGTTTTTGGTTCTGTATCGGTTTTGAATTTAACAGTTTCGATTTAAGCTGGAAAACCGATTAGAAACCGAACATGAACCTTGCTCTAATCGGACTATTACAAAGGGTGCATGGATTTGCCCCTTAACGTGTTCGATTTCGGTTTTGGGGAAACATGCTATACTGATTTTTTGGGGTTTAATGATTTAAGGTCGGTTAGGTCCCTGCTCTATGCTGGTTCCTGGATATGGTTTTTCTTTTCTTTAGTTTTCTTCATCAACTTATTCACAGCCCTCTTTGGATTCCGTGGGCTTAGTTTAGTTTCCTGAAATCCAGGTTTGGTTTGCTTTTTTGGCATATCTAGGAATTCTCAATAGAAAATATTGCAGATAATTACACTATAGAAAATATTGGGAGCGCATACTTAATTATCTCTTACTGATCGAATCAAATGAAACACCAAAAAAAAAAAAAACATTGCGAAAGTAAAGCACGTAAAGCCTGAATGAGTTGAATTTCTTAATTATGTTTCAATTAATTAGGTCAGTATTACACCAAAAAAATAATAATAATAATTAGGTCAGTACGCTCTAAAGTTTATCGTATTTGCCTTCATCATTTTTTTTTTTATTGGAGCCTTCATAATATTACGGTTGTTCAACACATTTCAGTGGACATATTTGATCAGAACACACTGTCTGCTAATACTCTGCTCTCAAACAAGACGAAAGAGATTGAACTCTTCAGGGACGAATTTCATTTTGCATGCATATGATACTCGTTACTCAAGGATTAGATATGCAACCATTGATTACTCATTTGCTGGAATCCTATGGTATATCTCCTTGGCTCATATCGCCCACAACAAAAGATTCTCCGACAGGCACTATTTTCTTTAGAAATTGTTTATCAATGTCTTCATTCTGTTTGATTTTTTTTAACTGTATACATGAATAGACTAATGCATCCATAGAATTTTCGGCTTGCCCTTCTATCTTCAATACAATAATGTATCTTAATTCCATTTGATAATTTCTAGGGGAGAAAGTACATAAAAGTTCTGATCATGGCCTGTAAATGGTCAGTTGTTTTTTTTTAACAGTTAATGATGTCATGTGGTCAAGCAAGTGAAAGCCCACCCTCAGATTCACGTGCCCTGGCGAATGGTGATTGGTGAGTGAGTAGTAACGGAATTCGTTTGATAAAGAAAGAAAGAAAATCAGGAAAAAAAGGAGATAAGGAAAGAATATGATAATACATAGAGTTAGAGATGGAAGAGGAAACCAACATGCAAGGTTACAATCATTATGAGGATTCCTTTTTTTTCCTCTTTCTCTCGCTGCTTGCTCTACTTTTTCGACTTGTTTCCCATAATTTCCAGAAGATCTGCTCTTCCCATTTCACATGGTTTATCTCATTTTCTGTTTCTGGAACTTATCTCGCTTCAATAGTTTCACGGTATAAATATGTGTACAAGGAGGTGAATGAACCCCACATTTATTGTTCATTGGTTGGTGGGTTTCTTAAGGACTGTGGTAAGGATCAAGTTGAGAAAAAGCGAGAGAGACAGAAAAATGGGTAGGCTGTCTTGGTTTTTTGGTGGGGCTTTGAATCATTTCATTGTCGCTGCTGTTGTGCTTTTGCTGGTGGTTTTGAGCAATGTGGAAGCGTTCCCTGCTGAGGATCTGGTTGTGAACTTGCCCGGCCAGCCAAAAGTTGGGTTCAGGCAGTTTGCTGGTTATATTGACATCGACGTCAAGACTGGGAAGAGCCTGTTTTATTACTTTGTCGAGGCCCAGTCCACTCCTCTTAGCAAGCCACTCAGTCTCTGGCTCAATGGAGGTTGGTTTTAGTTTCCCCTTCTTCCTTACAGAATTTCTTTCTTCTTCTCCATCAATCGTTTGCTGTCTGCTTAAATGCGGGCTTGTTCTTCTGGTACAGTCTTTTCTCCCTTTCTTTTCATTTGTTTTTGTCCCCTTGAACTGTGCTTTTAGCGTATTGTTCTGTTTTTGTGCATCCTTTCGCCAAAGATCCTCTCTTTCTCAACGTTAGAGATCTGGGATTAAGATATGCTTGGTCTAATGATCTTTAGCTGCAATTTTTTTTCTGGTGTTCAGGACCAGGATGTTCCTCAATGGGTGGAGGTGCGTTCACAGAATTGGGCCCCTTCTATCCAAGGGGTGATGGCCGAAGCCTTAGAATAAACAGAATGTCATGGAACAGAGGTAAAGAAAAACTAAAAACAAAGGTTACCCACTTCTGAAAGTTAATTTCTTTACAAGTGCAATGTAATCTTACTGAAGACCAAGTTTGGAGTTTCTTTTGGGCAGCATCAAATCTCCTCTTCGTTGAATCCCCTGCTGGAGTGGGATGGTCTTACTCAAACACCAGTTCTGATTATAAGATAGGAGATGCCGCCACTGGTATATCATCCCCAACTAAATTTTTACCTCAGGATTTAGTTTTCCTAATTTAACAGCTTTAAAACTTGCTCTCTGTGCAGCCATGGATATGCGCGTATTCTTGATCAAATGGTTGGCGAAGTTCCCGGAGTACAAGTCCTTACCATTTTTTCTCACAGGAGAAAGCTACGCTGGTCTAGTTTCTACCTTATTCTCTGTCCAGTGTCGCCAATGCTGTGTTTTTGTTTTCTTTTTCCAGTCAATTTTCCTGATTTTCTTTACTTATCGTCACATCAGGACATTATATCCCTCAATTGGCTGACCTCCTTCTTGAACACAATGCTCACTCCAAGGGCTTCAAGTTCAACCTCAAGGGAGTTGCAGTAAGGAAAAGGAAAAACAAAAACATCTTTCCTGCCAGACTGATTTCTTGATCATTGGTTTCTTTACTCCGGAAACTAATTCTTTTCAATTGCCAAATGACTAGATTGGGAACCCACTCCTGAACCTGGACCAGGACGCGGGGTCTCCGTACGAGTACTTCTGGTCGCATGGCATGATGTCCGACGAGCTTCACCAGAAGATCACCAACGAATGCGACTTCGATGACTACACTTTCGAGAATCCCCACAACGAATCCGAAAGCTGCAACGACGCCTTGTCCACGGCTATGAACGTGGTCGGAAACTACGTGAACAACTACGATGTTCTCCTCGACGTCTGCTATCCGTCCATATTCGAGCAAGAACTGAGGCTCAAGAAGCTGGTATGTGAACTACTCGTTGGTATATTAGCATAATCATGTGGCACAACCTTTTCACTAATTCCGAAATTTTGGGTCGGTCGATTGACTTCAGGCGACCAAGATTAGCCTTGGAATCGATGTGTGCATGTCCAGCGAAAGGAAGATGTACTTCAACCTTCCTGAAGTGCAGAAGGCTCTCCATGCTAACAGAACCAGCCTTCCTTACCCGTGGACCATGTGCAGCTCGTAAGTCGCTCATTTAAAACTCGTTACAAAAGCAATTCTCAGTTGCAGATTGTGCTTATTTGGTCATTCTTTTCCCCGCCTGAGTTGACAGGATATTGCAGTACCAGGAGAGTGATGGTAACATCGACATTCTCCCGGTACTCAAAAAGATCATTGAGAATGGTATCCCAGTCTGGATTTTCAGGTAAAGAACCTGTAACCTGCAAACCTTGTTCTATCTTCTTTGGAAACCGATGAGTAATGAGTTACAGAGATGCTGAATGAAAAATGGTGTTGGGCAGTGGGGATCAAGATTCTGTTGTCCCATTGATGGGCTCCCGGACCCTGGTGCGACAGCTGGCCGATGATCTCAAGTTCAAGGTCACAGTTCCATATTCTACTTGGTTCCACAAAAACCAGGTACGGAAAATATAGGCTGAAAAACCCCCATTCAGTTTGTTAATCAAAATCTAATTAGAGGTTTGTGTTTGTATTTTTGACTATTTTGTGGTGATCGGGGGAACAGGTTGCGGGTTGGGTGACAGAATATGGGAATCTGTTGACATTTGCAACGGTGAGGGGAGCAGCCCATATGGTTCCATATGCACAGCCATCAAGAGCTTTGCATCTCTTCAGCGCATTCCTTCGCGGGAAAAGACTCCCTGATCATCCCAAAATCTCCGACTAAGCAGGCCCAGAAATTGGAGAGCTGAAGAAGGGCCCAGATAAACTACAAGGCCCAAATTCGTTCCGGCTCCCGAAAAGAATAGGAGAAAAAGGAGCAATAATTAATGGATCAATGTAGTTAGGTTTTCTGTCTAGATTTTATTAAAACAAAAAGAAAAAGAAATTTCAATATTGACAGGGAATATAGGAAGGTATTAGAGGGAGCTAATGTCGAGTTGTTTGTTTATGATTGATCTATGATGAAGTAATTGGAAATGGAGAAGAAAATCAAGGTCCCCTACAATATTTGTTCATTCTTTGCTTATGAGGAAAATATGTTAATTGGGTATATGCTTGGTACCCATTCATATGCACGTTTCAACACTCGATATATAGCTCAAGTAATTTGGTTGGTAGGTTAATCACTGTTGAAACGTGCTCGTGTTTAATTTTATTCTAATAAATAAAAATGTGGTAGACATCATAAAATTTCATATTTTGCATTGGATTGCTCAAAAGTCAAATGAATTTTTTAGCTTGAGTCAATTGTTGGAAATTGTAATCCCTAACTATGAATTATTTGTGAATAAAACCCTTTGAATATATCATTATAACATAATTATATGTTGGGTTTAAGCCTTAAAGTTGAACGCTTTTTCTTTGGTAGAAAAATAATACACGTTCTTTAATATTTCTCTCCCTCTCCCTCTCCCTCTCCCTCTCGTACCAACTTGGCAAAACACATTACACATAAAGAAACGGGAACGGGAACGAAAATGATGCCAGCATACCAAGAAGATAATAATCTCCGAATGAGGTTTAGCTGCGTAACCACTCTTCATTGACCAATTGACCATCATTACTTCAAAGACATAGGTCGCAACTTCCAGACTAATTTCCGTCTTTCATTTACCTTCTACCCTAACCAACCTCCACTTTCACTCAGATTACAGATCACATCTTGGTAGTAAGAATAAGCGTTCTACCCCATTTACCGAAACATCCCCTTCCCCGCAAACTGAAATGGAATACCTCTCGTGTCAAAACTCAAACCAGCATCCCGCTTGCCAAATCTATAAGCTTTCCATCTTCAACCCCAGTGCTCTCTCAACTCTGTTGAGTGGTAACCCACTTCCCCACTCTGCTGATCTATGATTCCAATTCCCGTTCGCCGTTCAAACCCCCCTCTAAAGTTTTGATCTTTGTCTCTTGGGGTCGGTATCTCCTCTCACTCCCTTGCAGCTTCGTGTTGACTGTCAGTTGGGGTTTCCCTTGATTGCCCCTTTTCAAGTTCTTGTGAACTCAAGATGGCTCACGAATGGAGAAGAGGGTTAAGTTTGCTGATCTGAGATGGCTCACGGTTTGAGCCCCAGTTCTTCTTCTGACCAAATGCTTGCATTGTGCAAAAGGGGTTTCTTTGGGTGGAAGGGCATTGTGAAGACCCATCTTGGGTTGAAAACGTTTCAGTCCTTCAATGGAGTTTTAGCAGTTGGCTCATCCTTGTCTTTCCTTTTAGTCCTGGCTTGTGCCTACTCGCTTCTCTCTCCTAGGGTTCCGCAGCAGGCTGATGTAGCTACTAGCTACGGGCTTCCCATATCCAATTCCTCATCAGTTACTGACTGCAATCTGTTTGAAGGAAGCTGGATCCAGGATCAGGGTTACTACCCTTTGTACAATTCCTCCATCTGCCCTTTTGCAGAGCAAGGGTTTGATTGTTTGGCTAATGGGAGGAGAGATCAGGGTTATTTGAAGTGGAGGTGGAAGCCCAAGGATTGTACCATCCCGATCTTCAATGCTCGCCTAGTGCTCGAGAAAATGCGTGGCAAGCGAATTGTTTTTGTGGGCGACTCGCTAAGTCGAACACAGTGGGAGTCTCTGGTCTGTATGCTCATGACTGGTGTGGATGATAAGAGGGATGTTTATGAAGTCAATGGGAACACGATTACTAAAAGGATTAGGTTTCTGGGCATAAGGTTCAGCTCATACAATCTGAGAGTTGATTTCTATCGATCGGTTTTCTTGGTCCAGACTGGTTCTGTGCCTAAAAGGGCACCGAAGAGGGTTAAGTCGACTCTGAAGCTTGACAAGATGGATGATATCAGCAATGAGTGGATTGATTCAGATGTTCTGATCTTTAACTCAGGTCACTGGTGGACTCCTAGTAAGCTTTTCGAAATGTGAGTTTCCCTTTCTCCTCTGCCCATTATCTGGTTTCTATATTGAACAAATTCAGTTGTAATATAATACGGTTGTGATTGGTGATGATTGGCTGAAGAACCTGAAAGGTTGTTACTTTTAATTTGCTAAGATTGATGAACCCTATGCTGGCCATATGCATCTACAGTTTTATGAACTGCTTGTTAACTGATGTTTTCCCTCCTTCCATGAACTGAAGTGCTTTATTTGCTATATCTAGATGTTGTAGCATCAGATTACACGAGCTCTTACATTTTGGTATTGTTAGCCTTAAGTTATCAGTCATTCGCTTTTACAGTTGGAGAGTACAATGACCTCGATTATTTCTTCTAAATGTCTTAGTACATTGTTGGAATGAGATGCTGATCAGCTTTTGCTCGCGATCGTCTTTTTCCTTTTCAGCTTTGACCAGTGACATCAACTGTTCACATTCTTGATTTCTGCAATTTGTGCAAACAGCATGTCCCTAACACGTATTTTTCAGACAGGGGTTGTTATTTTCAAGTAGGTGGATCTCTGAAGCTTGGGATGCCTATAAATACAGGATTCAAAATGGCATTGGAGACTTGGGCATCCTGGGCTGCAAGTAATCTCAACACCAAAAGAACAACTGTATTCTTCCGGACTTTCGAATCTTCACATTGGAGGTCTGTTTGTTACCCATTATTAATCCTGTCGCTTTAATGTATTCCAGTTCTTGAAATTGACAAACAGCACTCTTTCTTTATATCAGTGGCAAGAACTTTGCTTACTGCAAGGTAACTCAGAACCCTTTGATTACAACAAGAGGGAAGGAGAGGAATGCATTGTCTGACATCATATTGAGGGCCGTGAAGAAAGTGGCACCGGTTCCTGTAACCGTACTGCACGTGACGCCAATGTGTGCATCTCGTAGCGATGCTCATGTGGGTACTTGGAGCGATAACCCTTCTGTACCCGATTGCAGCCACTGGTGCCTGCCTGGAGTGCCTGATACCTGGAATGAGATTCTCTTGTCCTACATTTTGAACAATGACCACTGATAGTATCTTCTTGATTAACAGGAACAATGAGTTCCTTAAACCCTAAATCTGATGTTGGAATCAACTTGATACCTATTCACTTTTGTTCGTATAGCTCCCTTGTTTGTACCATGAAACCGCTTCTGATGTAAAGTAATATGCCCCAACAAGATTTGGCATGTGGAGGAATTTTTTTTTTTTTGGTTGTATCCTTTTGTCTTCTCTTAGGTTGGTTGATGAAGACCAATTTTTAATGTGGGGTGGATTTGAATTCAAGGTTACTACTTCTAGTTGATGTCTATATTTGCTTGAAGTACAGGAAGGCTGATGCTGTGTGACAGTGAACAGGGTATTGTTTGTTATGGTTGAAACTAAACCAATGACTATCGTTGCAGTGATCGAATTGACAATGGCAACATTAACTCTCTGCTGATTTTACCCTTTGTCCTTTTGGAAACGTGAATGAACCTGCAAACAATTGTGAATGGTATTCTGCTGAGATTTAGATTTAGTACGCATTCAGAGATCTCATTACCTGGTTCTGCAGAATGAAAAACAAAATAGTGCACGGAGCGATCAACGACGAATCCATTCTGCATTAACGCGTTCGTATATCAAAAGCAAAATATGGCAGGATAAGAGAACAACAATGAATCCACTTGATGATGAACTTGGAGCCTTAATCATCGACTTGGGTTAGCATTAGCACTGATGACTCTATTTTTCAATTTCAGTGGAATGAATTTAAGAAGAGTTTGCTTCGTTAAGGTCTCATCTTCTAATGATTTGGGAGGGCGGTGCACAATCACTCCAATGAACTCGTGAAGATTATAGTCTCCGTCATGAGAGATGAGTTATGCTTTAGGAAGGTTCATTTACAGACAAATTTCTCTTCTGCATTCCATTTATTAACTTCTCATCTCATTACCTAAAAGTAAAAGGAGTATTGCCCAATTTCTTTATCCACATAGCTAATTATCTTATTTAGATATTTCACTTTTTTGTTGTAAAAAATGCAAATATTTCACGTTATTAATAGTCGCTGAGCCTAGGATAGGATTATTAACGCCTGGTATGCACTTGTGCATAACCAAATATGGCCTCTTAATTTTAAATGGAAATGGATATAGGATGTGAGATGATTTTTTTTTTATTTTTCTACTTTTTTCAATTAACTTTGATCTTCTTATTTAAATTTGGATTTCAAGATTCTGTGCACATATATAATGCCTTCGTTATGATCTACAAAACGATAATAATTTTCAATATATTTCGAGAAAATAAATTTTTGTACCACACATACCACTTGTTAGTTGTTACCACTCTGGTACCACTACGTACAAACTCCCTTTTTCTCTCAAATGTTGAATTTTTTGCCCATAAAAAACGAGTTAATCGTGACCTGTTGGATCTATAATTTCATGGGAAAATAATTTCAAGATCAAATATAATACACCCTCAACCTCAACCCAAGAACCCTCCCAAAGAACCACACTAGTGGGGCCACCTATAAAAATAAGATAAAGAAAGCTAACTTTAAAGGAGACATCAACATGATTTTATGCCACTTTATAGACAACCCAGTTTACAGAATCGGAACCTAATACAACCAGATAGAAAAGAGAGAATAAAGATATTAATCTCGTATAATAGCCCACCTCACCAATCATTAACCATGTCTTAACGAAGATGATGAATGACGTCGCCCCAAAATCATCTTCCACGACCACTCTAGATAACATTCAGAAAATGATTGGTTATAGATAGTTAGGCATAGGATCTAGAGGTGGTAAATGGATTGGATCCATGGATTGGTGGATTGGATTGATGGATCCATGGATCAAGTGGATTGAATCCAATGGATTGGTGGATTCATGGATTGGATCAAGTGGATTGGTGGATTATCCATGAATCCAAATGAATCCAAATGACATCATCAACCAAGGACCAAGATGTAAAATGTGAAAAGATTAGGTACTAAAATGTCATAATGAAAAATTTTAGGTTCCAAAACATAATTTTCCAATGATATTTTCCGTACAAAAAATTAAATTTTGGGCACCAAAATGTAAAATATAAAAATTATAGGTACCAAACCGTAATTTGCCATTTGGATCCATGGATTGATCTATGAATCCACCAATCCAATTGGATTTGGATCAAATAGTGATGGAAACCTACTTTTTAGGTTAACCATAATTATCAATATTAATATTATTAGGATTTATCTAGATATGGTAGTAGTCTTTGAGTCATATTAGGATAGTCTATTAGGTTTTCCAGTCTTTCACTATATATATGTACTTTGGGTCTTTTGTTCAATTAAGCAGAAATCACTAAAGTAATTATCTCCCAAAACCCTATTCTGTTCTCTCTCAACCTCGTCTGTCTTTCTTACTCAAAGGCTTCGGCCGTTCTTCCCCACATCCCCAATTCTTCTCCTAATCCCTAATTTCTATTCTCAATCCCTAAATCCCCAACTCCCGATAGAACCCTAATCCCAGGTTCTATCAATTGGTATCAGAGCCTGGTTACAGATTTGAGTTCATCACAACTTTCACCAGGGAATTGTTATCAGAAACTCTATCACACGTTTGAAGCTCTCCAAGCCAGTCTAGTAAAATATGAAGCTAGTAGGGAAGCATATGAAGCTAGCAAGGAAGCATATGAAGCTAGGAGGGAAGCTCACGACGATTATATGATAGCAGGCCTGAAAGAACTTCGAGCCAAACTCGAGCGCCATGCGGCCCGCCGTCGCGCGACCCGCAACCAGCCAGAGTCGACGTCGAAGAATTCATCAGCCTCCATTGAAGACACTCCTGCTATTGTGGAGTTTGCTCCTGCCGCCGTGGAAATCAGCTCAATCGGCGCAGCTCCTCAGCTGGCTTCCACCACTGATGTCCCAAGCATCCTCACAACCATCATCGAGGGTCAACCGCTACAGACGTCGATAGCAGCAGCGACAGTTTCGATCACCAAACCATCAACTCCACTCGGCGCGGCCGATATTGAAGTTCCAGCTGCTACGAAGGCATCACCCTTCACCGATCCGGCCGCTGCGGCTATTCATCCAGCACAGCAAAACAAAGAAGATGACCGAATGGCACTGTTATAAACGCGCTGCTACGGATCGGGAAATCGCCGGAATCGACAAAGAAAGAATACGAAAGCGAGAATCGAAAACACGACACACGATTTACGTGATTCACTAACACGATGTGTGTTAGCTACGTCCACGGGCGAGAGAGAGCCGATTTCACTATATCAAGGAGATTACAGATTACAGAGGAGTATGAGAAGTATTTATAGTACTTCTCCATGTGGGTCTAAACCTAATCCAAAATGGCAAAGGAAACGGTTACAGACCAGGCCCAGAACCCGAACCCAAATAACATTGATAGTCCAATTCAAGTCACATCAACAAATCTCCACCTTGACTTGAATCCTCTTCCTCTGAAATTTCTGATGTACTCTGCTCCTTCTCTCTCTCCCGCCATCAATGCCCCGTAGGGCGGAGTCACCCACTCAAGACATTCAGCAAGTCCAAGCAGTGTTGGAACTTGCCATGTGGAACCGGCTTCGTGAACATATCAGCAGGATTATCCGCAGTGCCAACCTTCTTCACCTTAATCCTCTTCTCTGTTCTCAAGAAATGATACCTCACGTCGATGTGCTTAGTCCTCTCATGGTGGACTTGATCCTTGGCCAAGCATATTGCACTCAAACTGTCGCAATACACCACTGCCTGATCATGATGTAGACCCAGATCACCAACCAGCCCCTTCAACCATATTCCCTCCTTAGCAGCTTCTGTCAACGCCATATACTCTGCCTCAGTAGTAGACAATGTCACCGCCGACTGCAGAGTTGCCTTCCAGCTCATTACAGAACTCCCAAGAGTGAATACATAACCGGTCATCGATCTCCTCGTGTCAACATCTCCAGCATAGTCCGAGTCAGAATACCCAGACACCAAGCACTATGTATCACTTCCGAAGCTAATCCCCACATCAGGTGTACCCTTAAGGTACCGGAAGATCCTCTTCACAGCCTGCCAATGCTCCTTCCCAGGTTGTATCATAAACCTGCTGACAACACTAACAGCATGTGCAAGATCAGGTCTAGTGCATACCATAGCGTACATCAAGCTACCTACTGCACTAGCATATGGGACTCTCGACATGTACTCCTTCTCAGCCTCTGACTGCGGTGCATAAGCGGAGGATAGATGAACATTTGAAGCACTAGGAGTATTTAAGGGCTTTGCTGAAGACATGCCAAACCTCGACTGTATCTTCTGGATGTAGCTCTTCTGTGACAAGAAAAGCTTCTTCTTCGACCTGTCTCTGTAAATCTCCATACCCAAGATCTTCTGAGCAGCTCCCAAATCCTTCATCTCAAACTCAGCACTGAGAAGCCTCTTTAACTTCTGGATATCAGACTTTGACCTCGCAGCTATGAGCATATCATCCACATACAGAACTAGATATATCATCGAACCATCCTCTGCCTTGCTGTGATATACACAACAATCATATGGACTTCTGCTGTAGCCCAGCTCAAGCATTTAACTGTCAAATCTCTTGTACCACTGCCTCGGAGATTGCTTAAGTCCATACAAGGATTTCTTCAGCTTACAAACATAGTCTTCTTTTCCAGGAACCTCGAATCCTTCTGGCTGAGTCATGTAAATTTCTTTCTCCAACTCTCCATGTAGGAAAGCTGTCTTCACGTCTAGCTGCTCGAGCTCCAAGTCATAATGTGCCACTATTGCTAGTAGCACTCTGATCGAAGTATGTCTGACCACTGGTGAGAAAATCTCATTGTAGTCAACTCCTTCCCTCTGCGAGAAGCCTCGTGCAACCACCCAAGCTTTAAATTTCATGCCCTCTTTAGAAGTGATTCCTTCCTTCTTCTTGTAGATCCACTTGTTTGTAACAATCCTCCTTCCCTGTGGTCGTTTGACTAGCTCCCAAGTCTGATTCCTGTCATGGGATTCCATCTCATCTCCCATTGCGGCAAGCCACTGATCAGCTTCACCACCCGAAACTGCTTCTCTATAGGACTGTGGCTCTCCTGCATCCACTTCCTCAGCAACCTGAAATGAATACGCCACCATGTCCTCGAAGCCATACCTCTGTGGAGGTACTCCTGCAGTCGCTCTCTTTGGTCTACCGGAAGCAATAGACTATTGAGCTCGTGCACTGGACTCTGAAGTTCTGGCTCTGCAGAGACATCCTCATCATGTTGATCTTCTCCACCTTGGTGCTCAAACTCACTCTCATTGAGAGTTTGCAGCTCCACCTGCTTATCAACATTCCTGCTACCTTCAGCAACAGTAACCTTCAACATGGGGTTAAACATAGACTTCTCATCAAATATCACATTTCTACTAAGTATAACTCGATGCTCAGAAGGTGACCAGACTCGAAATCCCTTAACTCCATCTCCGTAACCCACAAATACACCCTTTTTTGCCCTTGGGTTCAGTTTACCCTCATCCACATGATAATAAACAGGACACCCAAAAACTTTCAGTGAAGAGTAATCAGCAGGCTTACCATACCACACCTCATAAGGAGTCTTACACTCGATACTTGTGTGAGGTCCACGGTTGATCAGGAAGCACGCCATGTTCACTGCTTCTGCCCAGAATCTTCTCTCTAGTCCAGCATTAGAGAGCATGCACCGTGCTCTCTCCAACAATGTCTGGTTCATCCTTTCTGCAACGCCATTCTGCTGGGGTGTATCTCTAACAGCCCGATGACGGGCAATCCCTTCATCCTTGCAGAATTCGTTGAACTCAGAACTGCAGAACTCCAGACCATTGTCCGTTCGCAGCTTCTTGATCTTCTTCTCGGTCTGATTCTCCACCAATGTCTTCCACTGCTTGAACTTCGTGAAAGCCTCACTTTTCTGCTTCATCATGAAAATCCAAGTAAATCTCGAATAATCATCAATAATAGACAGAAAATACCTGCTGCCTCCAATGGATTCAACTCGTGAAGGACCCCAACAGTCAGAGTGGAGGTAATCCAGTATCCCCTTCGTCCGGTGGATACCCTACTTGGGAAACTTGCTGCGATGTAGCTTCCCAAACACACAATGCTCACAGAATTCCAAATTCCGCACCTTGTGCCCGCAAAGAAGATCCCTCTTCGACAGAACTTGCATCCCTCGTTCACTCATATGCCCCAGTCTCATGTGCCAGAGAGTGGTCATATCTTCCTGTTGAACCTGAGACGATGCAACTGCAGCAGAAGCAGACAACACAGACCCTTGTAATGCATACAAGGTCCCACGCTTCACGCCCTTCAGTACCTTCCTCGAACCCTTGCAGACATACACAACTCCACCTTTTCCTTTGAAGCTGAAGCCCTTGCTGTCGAGTAGACTCAAGGAGATCAGGTTCTTCGTCATTCGTGGAACATGCCTGACATCATTCACGGTACAGAACGAACCATCATGTGTCCGAACCTTTATGGACCCGATTCCAACAACCTTGCAGACAGCTCCATTGGCCATGACCACGTTACCACCATCTATCTGCTCGTAGGTTGTGAAGCAATCCCTGTTCGGAGACATATGGTATGAGGCTGCAGTATCCAGAAACCACACATCACCACGATGTGCCTTCTCATCTACAGCCAAGGCGAGATCGTCTTCAGAACTGTTGTCCACTTCTGCCACGGCAACTGAACCTTGTTTCTTCTGTTGCCCTCTTCTCTTGTGACAGTTGTACTTCCAATGCCCCACTTCCTTACAGTTGTGACAAGCATCACCTGGCTGTGGACCGGGACCCTTGGAATTCTTGCTCGAATTCCCTTTACCAGATTTCTTCTTTCCCTTTCCACCTGTAACAGCCAAACCCGATGCCTCACCACCTGTACCAGAACCAGACGCCTTATGTCTGATCTCTCTCGTATGAAGAGCAGACCTGACATCCTCCAACGACAAGCTTTCTTTACCAGCAATAAAAGAATCAACGAAATTCTCATATGAACTCGGCAAAGAAACCAGCAGGATTAGGGCAGCATCCTCGTCATCAACTTGAACATCTATATTACGCAGATCCAGCAAAATAGAGTTAAGCTGTTCGAGATGTTCCCTCAAAGGCGTACCTTCTTGCATCCTCAAGCTGAACAACCGTTGCTTGAGATGCAGCTTGTTGGTTAGAGACTTCGTCATATACAGACTCTCCAGTTTCAACCACAAGCCCGCGGCAGTCTTCTCAGCAGCGACTTCAATGATGACGTCATCAGATAACGATAGCATGATGGTCGAGTGGGCCTTCTCCTCCAGGGTATTCCACTCATCGTCATCGACCGCTGCCTTCTTCTATTTCGCAGACAGCGGCCCCCACAGCCCTTGCTGTTTCAATAAAGCCTGCATCTTGATCTGCCATATAGCGAAGCTGTTCTTCCCCGTGAACTTTTCGATCTTCATGTTCACCGACGTCATTCTTCTGAATCGAAAACCCTAGCCTGATTTCCAGCCGCAGCTCTGATACCACTTGTTATAAACGCGCTGCTACGGATCGGGAAATCGCCGGAATCGACAAAGAAAGAATACGAAAGCGAGAATCGAAAACACGACACACGATTTACGTGGTTCACTAACACGATGTGTGTTAGCTACGTCCACGGGCGAGAGAGAGCCGATTTCACTATATCAAGGAGATTACAGATTACAGAGGAGTATGAGAAGTATTTATAGTACTTCTCCATGTGGGTCTAAACCTAATCCAAAATGGCAAAGGAAACTGTTACAGACCAGGCCATGAACCCGAACCCAAATAACATTGATAGTCCGATTCAAGTCACATCAACAGGCACAATTCCAATCATAGGGCTGTTGAGAAGGTTCAGACTGCCCCTAGAACGACTCCAATTCCAATCTAGGGCTGGAAATTCAAGAAGAGGAAGAAGAGGAAACAGATGCGGAGGCTGCTGGAGGGTAACACGCCGTCGGAGAAGAAGAAGGGATTGAAGAAGTGCGGTGCCAGCGCTGACCGTCGAGAAGAAACCGAGGCGAAGCTGGAGGCGCGGGCTGATGACGAGTCGCGACGGTCGCGGACCGAGGCCGACGCAGGCGGCGTGTTCGCGGCGATTGCGCGCCAGGAGGGAGCGTCGCGGGCTGAGGCGCTGGTGACGACCGCGCGTCTTTGTCTGGACACGGCGGAGCTTCAACTCGCGCGCGGGACGCGGCGATGGGAGTCCGTTTCCTTTGCAACGTCAGGCGGAGGAGACCCAAGGCGGAGGGCGGAGGAGAGCGGGTCTCCCGATGGGTTGCTGGGGTGTACGCCGGAGCCATAGGAAATGGGGAAGAAGGTGGCGACGGCGGCCGATGAGGAGGAGACGCCAGCAACTCGTTGGGCGTCCCACCGGGTTGAGCTGCCGGTGAACGAAGTGAAGAAGGAGATCGGCGCCGGGAAGCTGCTACTCGCGTCGCTGGGAAAGGGGGCGACGGAGAAGGAGGCGCCGACGAGGGAGACGACATTAGTGGCGGGCGCAATAGAGCAGAGGCCAAGTGGAGAGGAGGTCGGCGGTTCTCCGTGTCCAGTAACCCTAGGCCGCGCCTCCAAGCGGCCAGAATGGTTGGGTCGAGAGGTGGTTCGGGTCACTGGGTCGTTGGGCCGAGTAGACTTGGGCCGCACATCTGGTCGCGCAATGGATCGTGAGAAGAGGGGAGCTGGGTTTTCATTGGACCAAGAAGAGCAGCAGGCCGAGTTGAGTGTTGAGCCGAGTTGGGCTTTAAAGGGCCCAATGCTTGAGCCACTCAAGGATTGTTTAATAAGTACTCTCTTATATGGTGTTGGGCCAAATCAGAAAGGAGGATTTAGGCCCAACGTGGGCTCTGAGTTAAAAGAGATGGGCTTGGGGGAAAAGAAGAAAGGAGTTATGTGGTTGGCAGATGGGCTTGCAAGCCCAAACGGAATTAAGAAGGAGAGGAGCACCAACCTAGTCCAAGATGAAGGAAGAGAAGGTGGGGAAAGGTTATGGATTGTTTTCACCACCAAGCCCATGGAGGAATTTGTGGAGTCTTCTCTAGTTAGTGAGGAGGAGATTAAGGAAGAACAGTTCCCTAATTCTTATTTCGTGGATTTTGAAAAGGAAGAGAAAGGTTTGTTCGGCTATGGAGAACGTGACATGAACCACGTGGATAGGAATGAAGCCGTTGGAGTCAGAGATGTGAGCGTGAGATTCGTTCGAGTAGTTGAGCACGATTGGAAGAAAAGAAAGCGCAAGAAATGGAGTAGGGGCGTGGGTCTCACGGTAGATGTGAAGAAATGGGTCGAGTTGGTCAACCTTGAGGACAAGGTTGGTTTTCAAGGGGAAGGGGATGATGGAAACCTACTTTTTAGGTTAACCATAATTATCAATATTAATATTATTAGGATTTATCTAGATATGGTAGTAGTCTTTGAGTCATATTAGGATAGTCTATTAGGTTTTCCAGTCTTTCACTATATATATGTACTTTGGGTCTTTTGTTCAATTAAGCAGAAATCACTAAAGTAATTATCTCCCAAAACCCTATTTTGTTCTCTCTCAACCTCGTCTGTCTTTCTTACTCAAAGGCTTCGGCCGTTCTTCCCCACATCCCCAATTCTTCTCCTAATCCCTAATTTCTATTCTCAATCCCTAAATCCCCAATTCCCGATAGAACCCTAATCCCAGGTTCTATCAAATAGATTGGATTTAAATGGATTGGATTTGGTGGATATTTTTAATGGGTTGGTAGATTGGATTGAGAATTGCCACCTCTAATAGGATCCAATCCATTCCTTAATCGTTGTGGATTTCACGTGTTTATTATTATCTGTTCGTCTTGCAAGACGTTTTGATTTGTCTCAATGGATATGTAATCTATTACCTCACTCACTCAAAACCCTCGAGGAGAAATTGGCAAGAAAAACAGTGGGAGAAGAGAAGAAGATTGGGAAGTAGTGCAGGGAAACCGTAAAGTGTTTTGGAATGCAAACAAACAATATTGACATATATCCTCCACCTCCCCCACAAATCTTAGAATGAGGATTAAGTCACTCATAAATATATATTTAAAATAAAAACAAACTTGTACTCTTAGCAATCAATAAATAAATAAATAACACAAAAATCTCAACACTACAAATAGCCATGGCCATTCTCCCACCATTTTCATCACCAAACTACACATAAGAAGACAAAAGTACAATACAATAATATCAATTGTAAAATCATCTTCACAAATATGGCCTCTCCAACCAGCTTTGCTTTCCCTTACTTCTCTCCACCGCCGCCATTCCACCCCATCCACCCACCACCGCCACCTCCCCACGTCATCACTCCTCCACCTCCGCCGCCGCACGTGTTCCCATCACCTCCCCCTCCTCCACCGCACGTGCGCCCACCACCACCACCACCACACGTCTTTCCTCCTCCACCGCCACCACACGTGCACCCACCGCCACCACCACACGTGCTCCCTCCTCCTCCGCCGTCCCCCGACAACCATCCCACCGTGATCATCATCGTAGTCTTCGCCTCGTTCGGTGGCCTCCTCTTTCTGGCGGGGCTCGCCGCCGTGGTGTTCTGCTGCCTGAGGAAGCTGAAGAAGAAGAAGACGAAGCACGAGGTGGATGTGATCCACGTGGACGAGCACGTGAGGGTGAAGGAGGCCATCGTCCCCGGGCCTCACGGCCCACGTGTGGTGGTGCTGGAGATCGAGGAGGACTTGCATGTCGACGAGGTTGTCAGGAAGGACGAGGTTGTTGAGAATGTCCATGGCGGCGGCGGGGGGCATCATCATCTTCATGGTTTGCATGGCAAGTCGGCGGCGGCGGAGGTTAGTGGCGGCGGTGCTAGTTCGGAGATGGCGGCGGCGGCGGTGGCTTCCTCGGGTGGTGCTACTCGGGAGGTTAATGAAGAGAAGTCGTGATATCATCCTAATCGGGAGGTTATCTCAATATGAAGCTGACGAATTAATTCGTTGTTTGGTTCACTTTGAATAAGAAGTTGATTGTAACCGAAATTTATTAAAATTTAAAACTAATGTCGTTTCATCAATTGTTATTTGTTTCTGGCAAAGTTCGAAAGGGTTGAGGTGACTCATGGAGAATTCTATGATATCCTGTGTGTTGATCCAATCCGGTGTGTTTCTATCACATTTGCCGTTAACTTTATTAATTCGAGTTATTGACATTGCTGGTATCAAAGCCTATTGTGATCTAAAGATTTTAAGTCCGAATTTGTTAAATACATTGTATTTGAAACAGTTCAAAATTTGAAAGCCCATATATGGTGGCCTGCTTTTAATTGAAGAGTGTATTAGTGACATATGATTCATAATTGAACATTTCTCAATAACTCAAGTCATTAGAATCAGTCGTTTCTTAACACCTATTATATCCATCGCTTGGATTGGTTCATGTTCATTAATAACGTCCATGCATGCAGGCAACTGAGATTCGAGAAGCTGAAAGGATGATAATTCTTACTTACTACAAGAAACACAACATCTGTCAAGCATCCACTACGTACCAGAGGGCAAGATCGATGCCAGCAAAGGTGACCTAGTAAGTACAGTTATAATTTGACTGCTTAATTATTTATACCTTCTAGAGCACAAAGTTTATATGGAAGATCACGACCGAGTTCACCAAATTTTGAAACAAATGGAAAATATAAACAGCTACAAGAGAATATTAGAAAGAGAAAGACACATGAGAATAGAGGGAAAAAGTTCTTCTTATTCATTCTTCACTTTTGATACAAATGGTGCGCTCTATTTATAGGCACACTTTGATAACTATTACATCCTTATATCAATGCATATGAATGAATAATGAAACATAAAGGAGATTTCAATTGTAGGAACAGGGGTTACATGTAACTCCCAAGTGAGCATCTAATGTGATAGGTCATTGATCATCCATATATCAATATTTGCATAATACTCCCCCTTGTATGACCACTAGATTGCATTGCGTTGTCTCATACTGCCTCGTTAAAAACATTAACAGGAATACCCAGTGGGAAAAAATCATGGTTAAGGGAAAGAGTGCAGTGTGTATATGCTCCCCCTCATGACCACATCACTTAAAATCTTTGAGTTGTTGAACTCAAATTTCACGAACAACTTTAAGAAAGATTGTTGTTGGGAGTGAGTTAGTGAACAATCTTCTGCATTGTCAATTTGATGTATGATCTTTAGATTTTTTTCATACATGATCGTCAGGATCATTTCCTTTGAAAATAGTTCACAACAATAAGTCCTTTAGATATGGTGAATCACAAAGTGTGACGAAATACATTCAGGACTCGCCTACTATAGTTTGTTTTGGATCTCTATGAAATAATCCTATCACCATATGTAAGATATAGCTCGTCTCCGATCGACCAATATGAGGATCAAATGATATATATGATTTGGATATAAAGTTCACCAAATCTCTCTTTGATAATATCATAATAAGGAGAGGTCGGGGTGAGGCTCGAAACAAGAGTCCCCAAATTCCCAGGACCCACCCTCACTTGCCTCTCCATTTCCACCTGATTTCCCCTATTACTTTGATCCCTCTGAGAGCATATCTTTATCACCATCAGAAACCCCAATTGTGAAGGATCGACCTAGCCTGTCATCACTCGATGTTGAAATATGGATCTCCAAAAGTCACCAAATCAGTAATCTCCTCGAGCTGCAGAATAGGAATGAGTAGTCCTCTGATTGTGTGGCCGAGGATGACGTTAAGGAGATTGCTATTTCGACTTTCAAATCTCGGTAACACACAACAAGAAACAAACCAAAAATGGAGGCCTATCGCATTGGACCAATTTCACCAGCTCCTGAAGGTACTCGATCGCGAAGAAACAAGGTTTTGGCATCAAATTCCCGTGATCAATGATGAAGTCGCTCATTGCGTGGAATGTGCATGGATTGGGAAACGACGAGAAGAGGGCGTGTGTAAAGAGGTTTTTGAGAAGACACAGGCCTGCGATTGTCGGGTTGACTTAAACAAAGTGGAACGACTGTTGTCAAGAGCTCATTTCGGAAGTTAGCGGACAGAGAGATTGTGGTTGGGCTTCCAAAAATGCTGATGACAGCAGGGGAGGCATTGTCATTTTCTAGTATAGAGATTTTTCGGTATGTTGACTAAATGGATTGGTGACTTCTGCTTGTTGGTCCAATTGGAAGAACTTGAGTCAAAGAATGTTTTCACTCTTGTGGTTGTCTACGGGCCGCAAAGAAGAAGGGAAAAGGAGCTCTTCCTGTTGGAATTATCTGAATTATGTCATCGAAGGACTACTCCGCTGTGTATTGCAGGAGATTTTAATCTTATGAGATCCCATGAAGATTATAAAGGAGAGCAGAGAAGTGGTCTACCTTTGTTATGGATGATCGAGTTCAACGATTTTATTACGGATGCGACGCTTATTGATCTACCTTTGTCTGGGGCTCAATTCACGTGGAGCAGCCAAAGAGTCTCTCCCTCATTATCCAGAATTGACAGGTGCTTTATCTCCACAGAATTCTATGTTTGTTTTGAAAACTGTAGACTTTAAGCTCTTGAAAGATTTGAATCAGATCACAACCCAAGTCAGCTTATTTGGGGTAATGGTGAGAGGATTCATCGGCCGTGGAAATTCGAAAACATGTGGTTAGAGGCTGAGTCTTTCGTGGGAAGTTTAGAAGGTTGGTGGAATGAACTTCAGAGAGGTGTGGGAGATTTGTTTCTGTTTGGAAAGAAGCTGGGTAGTGTGAAAGAACGCATCAAAATTTGGAATAAAGAGGAGTTCAGACGGGTTGATCGAAAAATTGAGGAGCTTCTTGTTTGCTTGAGGCAGATTGACAGGAAGGAGGAAGAGAATGAACTACCAGAGGAAGACTTGGAGAGTAGGGACAGATTGATATCAGAATTGAAATGCTTATTGTGGTTAGAAGAAGTTTCCTGGAGACAGAAATCCAGGGAAACCTGGCTTAAATTCGGAGATGGAAATTCAGCTTTCTTCTATACAACATCAAATTTCAACAGAAGAAGGTAACTTGTTACTAAAATCAAAGTTAAAGAAGAGTTCGTTGAAGGGAAGGAAGATTTGAAAACGAATTTTGTCAATAAGTTCACTTCTGTCTACAAAGAGTGTCGCCAACAACGACCATTTCCTGCTAACTACGGACAACATGTATTCACTGTTGAGGATCATGAGTGGTTGGAAAGACCTTTCTCTGAGGATGAGATTTGGAGGGCTGGAAAGAGTTGTAAAGGAGACAAATCCCCTGGACCTAATGGTTTCTCCCTTGCCTTTTATAAAAAATGTTGGAATGTCGTGAAGAATGATTTGTTAAAAGCTTTTGTTGACTTTCATACCAATGGCAGATTACCAAAGTGCATTTCTCACTCTTTTGTGTGCCTGATCCAGAAAATGAAGGTTGTTGATGATATAAAAGATTGAGATCGATCGGTGTATTGGGAAGTGTCAACAAGCTGATTTCTAAGGTGATTACAGAGAGAATTAGGTCCTTCATGCCATCAATTATTTTCGGGAATCAGTTTGCTGGGGTTAAAGGCAGACAAATTCACGAAGCAATTTTAGTCGCCAATCAGCTAGCATAGATAACAAAAGAAAAAGCGGTAAACCATGACTCATATTCAAACTTGACATAGAGAAGGCTTATGAAAATGTCAATTGGAGGTGTTTGGAGCACACACTAAGGTGTTGGGGCTTCCCAACGAAAATGATGAACTGGATTAGAGGGCTGGTTTATTCCCGATTGCTTTCTGTCCTTGTGAATGGAGAGTCTGTCGGCTTTTTCAGAATTGGGAAGGGTCTAAGGCAAGGTGACCCCATATCTCCTTTCTTATTCATGCTTGTCATGGACTTATTATCGTTCATGTTCGAATCTTTGAGGAGTGATGGCCGACTCTCGGGATTTAGAATGGATGAAGCAGCTTTAAGGGGAGAAGTGACACATTTACTGTATGCAGATGATACGATTGTTTTATGTGATGCAAACGAGGACCAAGTTTTGAATTTGATGGGCACTTTGGTATCTTCCAAGCAATGACGGGGTTAAGAATCAATGTGGATAAGTGCATGATGTTTCCTATTGGCAATATTGAGCAACTTAGTCATTTTGAAGATTTCTTCGGATGCAGTTGGGGATATTTACCAATTATTTATTTGGGTCTCCTACTGGGTGCAAGTCCTAACTCTAATGTGTTCTGGGAAAATATTATTGTGAAGATGCAAGCAAGGTTAGATGGTTGGCAAAGGATGTTTTTATCGCTAGGCGGTAGGATAACTCTTACTCGAAGCACCCTTTCAAGTATTCCTATGTATGCTTGTTCGATTTTGAAAGCTTCGTCTGCGGTTGTGCACAAGATGGAAAAATGCATGAGGGACTTCATCTGGTCGGGATACAATAACAGAAAAAAGTATCACCTTCTCAACTGGGATATATGCAAGACTGCAAAGGATGTTGGAGGATTGGGGATTGTTGATGTTAAGAACGCGAACTCAGCCCTACTCTCAAAATGGCTATGGAAGTATGCTACGGAACCAAATTCGTGGTGGCGACTCCTCATCGGTATAAATTTCCCAAATCAGTCCTCTCTCTGGAGGGCGGGTAAAGGAGGGTCGAGAGTGGGATGTTCCTTATGGAAGAATATCTTAAAAGAAGAGCATGAATTCTGGAAGCGCGCTTTCATCAATGCGGGAGGAGGTGATTGGGTGTCTTTTTGGAAGGACCGTTGGTTGCCTAGGGTGATTCTAGAAGAATTGGGATGTGCCTTTACGTTTCTCTTTGAAGGATGGGGCTGAGAGAGAGAGAGAGAGAGAGAGAGAGAGAGAGAGAGAGAGAGAGAGAGATAGAGAGAGAGGCTTATTCAGTTCCTTTCCTCTTCTTTTCCTAACTTTATTTCTGCAGGTCCCTCGAAGATTGTGTGGCAGCCTTCGTCGAACGCATCCTTTACGGTCAAATCCATGTACAACAGTCTTAACTTGAGTCGACTTCCAGGCGAGAATGGCTTTCCATACAAGATGATTTGGATTCCTCGGGTTCCCTCGAAGATAACTGCTTTTCTCTGGATGGTCATGCACAAGAAGATCCTTACACATGATAATCTACAGAAATGAGGTTGGAATCTCGCAAGGAAATGTGTGATGTGTGACAGTGATGAAGAAACGATTGATCATCTTTTTTGCAGATGTAGGTACAACGGGATGATATGGAAGACTTTTCAATCTGTATTGGGTTGCATCGACATTATCATTAGGGGGTGGAAGAACAAGACGCATGATAGTTGGAAAGGGTGGTTCCAGACTAGTTTGATTCATGCCTTTTTCTAGGAAATTTGGAAGGAAAGGAACTCAAGGACTTTTAAAGACCTTTCAAAACCTTGGAGAATCATTGCCTACAAGATTGGAAGGACCCTACTGAACTGGAGTGTTGCTCATGGAGTTATTAGTCTTGAAAATGGGTGGTGTGGCTTCAACTCATAAATTCCAAAGCGATGCGTCTCCCGAGAGATGATGTTGGAAATTAGAGCTGCTAGGGATTGGTTGTGCTTCATCGAATGTTGCTTATGAGCAAGGCTTGCACTGGGCGTGAGAGAAGTTTTCTGCATCCTAAAGTTTGCGTCTTGGGTTGTGTGTTTTTCTTTGTGCTCACTAGTGTTGTGGTGTGGTATGAACGTGCTGGTCGCTTCCTTGGGCGGTTGTGTGACGCGCGTTTTTGCTGTTGAGTCTTCCTTGTGTATGGTTGATTATCTGTGTTAAGGCCTTGTGTTCAATTTCTTTTTCGTTGATTCCCTGTGTGCCTCATCGGTGTGTGTTGCATAGTGGATTATTCTAGGAATGTTGGTTAGCTTCTGCAGGTTTTTCAGGTGGTGAGGAGTGTTTCTTGCCCATGACTATTGCTGTGGGAGTGTGATGTTGGTTGTAGTTTTTCTTCCCCGCCTTGATTTTGTTGGGGTGGGTGACTTTTCTATTTTGTTTTGCTATATCTTTTTAGTAGCTGGGGTGGTCTGGTCCACCTAGCTGCATTTTGTTTCTTCAGTTGAAGGCTGGTTTAGCTCTTGTGAACCGCGTTATTCTGTGCGTGTTGAACTCTGTTTCTTTTTTTACTTTTCGTTTCAATGAATTTCATCACCATTATAAAAAAACGATAATACCATAATAAAACGATCGCATATATTGTTCCCGAAGGTAACACAATATTTTTCCAACGTTCCAATGAGGGAAATATTGTATCTTGCTAATATTATCAACACCAAAATGATATTTTGCATGATGCTTGACTAGCAAGGTACATTGGTGCTCCAATGCATCAACACATGGTACTTCAGGACCTAGTACATCAACATAGTATTTTAGGATGTAATGTTTCACTTCTTTCTTGATACCTAAATTGACCTATGGTCACTTCTTGTGATCTTAGGATCCAAATCTTATTTGATGAACATAATTTGTTCATGCAAAATTACTTTTCCACTTTTTCAACATGACCTACCTTGCCCATAAAAGGATCTTAAATTCTTCAATTTAACTTATGTCTCTAAGCAGTCAACTGCTATAGGAAGCTCTTCAAGAGCTCCAATAATATTCATATCATCAACATAATATGAGATCGTCACAAAGAGCTGATGCAAGCAATTCTTTCATATTCATGAAATATAATAACAAAACTCACATCATAGAAACAATATGAACTCGACAAAGCACACTCATAAAACACAAATCATACTTTAAAGTAAAACACAACACATAACACCAAGAATTTAAAATCCCTGAAGCACATACAAACAACACAACTGTATATGCACAACGCAAATGCTTTAATGCACTCTATTCGGATTTAACCTTTTAAGGTCCATTCACCGTACTGATGTAGGCATTCACTTAGACGAGTATTTCACATTCGTTTATATTGTCTCAACCCATACAAGGGATTTTCTTAGTCTATCGATATATTTTCTCGAGAACTTTACTTGTTTACTTCAGGTAAATTAATCCTTTTGGGAGTTTCAAATATATATCATATCTTCAGGGAATTCAAACAAATAGGCTATCACAATAATTTTCAAACATAGATTTAAACATTGATGGGTTAAGCTGCAGCCTGGTTGCCTGGTTGGAAGTAATTATGGTTGAAAATAGTTGACTTGGGTTGGATAAGTGAATGGGATTAGGTTAGAATAGCAAAGGCAACAAGTTGAAAATTATTGAAAGGGGTAGTCATTTGGTTTGTCTGTTGGAAAGGGAAGTCGCCGAAAAGGTTTATGGCTATATTTTCACTTTGGGGAGGAGAGAAAAACATATCTTGGTTCTAAGAAAAAGTGGGATGATTTTGGGGAGTAGGTGAGAAAAAGTCAGGGGGAGTGGAATATATCTGTTGAGAGAGTGAAGTTCTGACCATTACTCGAAAAAGGGGGATTGATTTGGCCTTGGCGAGAAGCTCAAGACATGTGGGCCGATATGGTTGGTGTTTTGTGTCCAACTACGGGTCGCCGTCATCAGCGACTGGTTGAGAAACCCTATCGGGGAGTTGTTAGCAGAGGTAGTGACCCGATTCAGGGTGTTCTCCGCATCCATCTATTGATTCGTTCTGGGGGAGAAGATTGGAGAACTCGCCCTTGTCCATGGCCCTATTTCTCCATCGCTGGATAGGGAAGACCATTCATGTCACAAATCTTCTTCAGCTCGTAATCAAGTTTAGTATGGTCGACCTTTCTACAAAAGTAGCAGAGGGAGTATAGCCTCTCATACTTGTACTCAACCCGGATCCTCTTCTGCTGCTGTCTTATGTAGAACAAATCAGGGAGGGATTTCGAGACATCCACCTCGACGAAGATCCTAATGAACTTCCTGTATGTATGGGCTCGTATGGCAGCATGATCAATATCAATGACTCTATGGAACATTCTGTCCATCATCGAGATGTTTCCTTCAGAACGGTAGGTTTTTGGCAGATTTTGAACTTGAACCCAGAATTCATTGGTCTGGAACTTTACCTCCTTCGCATCTTCAAAAACAAAAGGTTTCTTCAGCTGCATCACTGTCCTTGAGATTGGGCAAGGTCGATCGCTCTAGATTTCCTCCATCTCGACCTTCTTCTCGAAGTAAAAAAACGAAGGTGTTGTCTTCTAGAGGTTGAATGTTGGGCATTTCCTGCATTTTAGGTATGGGATTATCAATCCAGGTTGCCTCACCATTCCTCTCAAAGCTCCAAGGCTAATATCCCTCTCTGGAAAATAATTCCCACCAAGGTGTTTCGATTGGCCACTCTCCCCTCATCGGGTTTCATCTCTAAATCCCACAAATACTATCAATTTTTAACTATTAAATTCATCAAAATTAATAATAAATTAATCTTTTTATGAATTAAAATAATTTTATTTTGCTTAGAATTTATTAATCGCTCGTGCCAATCTTACCGATATAGTGACCGATTTCATGACCGGCACAGGTTGAACCGGTCGGCATGCTACCGACATGCCTACCGTGATATTCATAGAATTGTAATTGGCCCGCAGCCTGCAGTGACGAGACGCAGCGTTTTGGGTCGTTCGTCTTCTGTTCGCCTGTTCTTTCTTTCTCGAACTGTAAATTTTCTCATCTCGCAGATCTGAGCGTACCGGCTCACTTTGATCATCAAATTGCCAGAACCCGCGAACTTGACTGCCTTCTTTCACGCTGTCGGGAGAGAATTGTCTAGTCGAAGATCAAGGGCGGCGGGTTGATTTTGAATCCGAAGAAATGGTGGTGGTATCCGCTTCCCGGGATTACATCAACTGCATGCTGCTGGATATCTCCGGGATGAAGGTTCTAATTCTGGATTCCCAAACGGTAATTAAGAACATTCTCGATTCCGTTTCTTTTTCGTTTTCCTCTTTGATCATTGTTTCGCCGTCGCCCAAACCGGATTCCATGTAAGCTTGGAGCTGTAAGGCTGATCATTATAGTTACTTGCATTGCTAGTCACCGTTGTTAAGCTTGTTAGAGCTGGCATGGTCTTTTCTTTCGTTTGATTGACGGTGCTTTTTCCTTTGCCATGATCTTTGTTTGTGTATTTTTAGACATTGGTTAAGCAGAACCGTACTACAAAGAGTAATTCAAGTTTTTATTTGAGTTTCAAGTCAGTATCGTAAGTGTTGCCTATTCACAATCTGAACTGCTTCACAAAGAAGTATTTTTGGTTGAAATGATAGACACAATCTCGAAGTCTAAAGAATCTATGACACATTTGAAAGCGGTTTGCTTCGTTCGTCCTACATCAGAGAATATCCAGTATTTGCGACGCCAGCTAGCTAATCCTAGATTTGGAGAGTATCACCTATGTAAGCTATTAAAGAAGAGCTATGGCTCCATTCCCTTCTTCTTTTATCTGGTATTGCTTCCTGGAACTAACCTATTTTCCTTCAACTTTTGCAGTTTTCTCCAACATGTTGAAGGATACCCAGATTCATCTATTGGCTGACTCAGATGAACAAGAAGTTGTTCAACAAGTACAGGTAACAATTGCTTGTCCTTATTAGATTAGTAGCTTTGGCTTGCTGAACCCAGAAATCATTTGTTTGGATAAGTAGTTTCAGACAAAGTACAGTTCATGCTTGATCTAACATGCTGAGAAGTAGGCTCACCTTGCTCCTTTGGGCATCTGGCTGGTTTTTCTGCTTAGGGAAAAACTAGATTAGAGAACTTTTTGCATGTTGTCTAACTTCTATATTTCACATCTGAGATATTCTGATTTTTTCTTTTGTAATCTGTGTTTTCTTTCTTGGAATGGCAAGGAAGGTAGTGAAATTACCACTTGAGAGAGGATGAGAGGCTGGTTTTAAATCAGGGCAAATTCATTAGATATGGAAACTGTCAGCTGTTGAAACTGAAATAATGTGCGAAAATCATAGTTTTCAGCCCTTTCGAAACCTTATTATTTGTCGAAGTGCTTCAATGATGAGAACGTGCACGTAAATGAACTAACTACAGTAGCAACACCAGGATTCCTATCTTTGGAGCAGTACATGCTTGGGCATTCTCGTTCCACAGTATTTCACTTGCTGTAGTTAAGCTGCTAGGCTGAAGCTGCAATCTAGCAACCACAATATTTGGAACTTGGATGCTGGATCCTGGAATATATGAGTGCAGTTCACATTTGCATTAATTATGAGCAGGAAATGAGTTGCTAGCCTGTCCTGATTTCGTTAGTTTCCATGGATCCTTGCCTCTTGTATATTCTTAACTATTGGGTTCATCTGCATAGTGCCTATTCTTCACATGTTCATGAGACTATCTGATGTGATGAAAGTCAGTCATTCTATTTTAAGTCAAAACTATTGTGAGATTCAGAAAGTATAGACTCGTTTATACAATTATGTTGGGCAAATGTGATGTGTTGGTTTTTTTACATGGATCACTTTGAAATGTTGTAGTGAATCCCTTTGTTGTTTTTCCTCTTTTGTTGGGTTGACCTTGACATAATTGTTCTACTTACTTTTCAGGAGTTTTATGCAGACTTTGTTGCACTTGATCCTTACCATTTCTCTTTGAATATTCCTTCAAATCATATGTATATGCTTCCAGCAGTCATCGATCCTTCAGGTTTGCAACACTTCTGTGACCGAGTAGTTGACGGGATCGCAACTCTTTTCTTGGCGCTGAAACGAAGGCCTGCTATCAGATACCAAAGGACCTCAGATGTTGCCAAAAGGATAGCCCATGAATCAGCAGTGAGTGTGAATTTGATCTCAAAATTTGTTATGTCACTTGGATCAACTCAGGAACTGACTTTTTTAATATTCTGAGAGCATCAATTGACAAGTCTGATAGAGCACACTTGAGGATACTACACCAGATTTCATTGTTAGCATCATCTTGTAAAGACATGCAAACATTCCACTGATAATCTCTCTTTATCCAGCAACCGTATCAGGTGCTGGATTGAATATCTGCTTCTCATCAATACTTAAGAAAATGCTAGGCCAATTAGCAAGCTGAATTGTCTATTCTGTGTTCTTTTTCCTACCCTTAGTTGGCACGATATATGGATGGACAAATTTTGATGTTGGGTTATATATTCTTTTGTGATGTTGCAGAAGCTGATGTATCAGAAGGAAAGTGGCCTTTTTGATTTCAGAAGGGGCGAGCTTTCTCCTTTGTTGCTGATAATAGATCGAAGAGATGATCCTGTAACCCCTTAGTTGAATCAGTGGACCTATCAGGTACTGCAATTTGTGCCCGTGTATGTGTATTTTGAGGTGCTCTTTTCTTATCTTGGATATTCATGTATGATGTTTGCAAGTTTATTTATGTTGGTGCCACTGGATATGACCTTCTCCCCATGGTAATGTTGCTTGTTGTGTAGGCTATGGTTCATGAATTAATTGGTATCCAGGATAATAAAGTTGACCTCAGAGGCATTGCTAAAGCATCAAAAGATCAGCAGGTTAGCTCCTCTTGGCCCCAACGCAAGGGGAAAGAGAAAAATAAGATGTATTGTTATATTTCAGCATTCTCAAGTTATCTTTTTTTGGTGCTTTGCAGGAAGTGGTCCTATCGTCGGAGCAGGATGCATTCTTTAAGCTCAACATGCATGAGAACTTCGGAGATATTGGGATGAATATCAAGCGAATGGTGGATGACTTTCAGCAGGTTGCAAAGAGTAACCAAAATATTCAGACAATAGGTTTGTATAGACAATCAAGAAGCTGTTAACAACTTATTTTTGGTCATGCTGCTAGGTACGACTAAGGGAGTATGTTTGAATTTTTCAGAGGACATGGCCAAATTTGTTGAGAATTATCCCAAATATCGGAAAATGCATGGCAATGTCTCGAAGCATGTGACGCTGGTGACTGAAATGAGCAAGATAGTTGAGGAGCGAAAGCTCATGTTAGTTTCACAAACCGAACAGGAGTTAGCTTGCAATGGTGGACAAGGGGCAGCTATTGAGGTAGTGTATTATTTTACCATTTATTTTCGCTTTGTGAGGATCAAGGAGAGAGGGTTAGGAAAAAGATTCAGTACAATATGGTCATCTAGAGGATTCCTATGAGATTTCACAATTGAGCTTTTACTGGATTCCTTAATCTAACACCACCACAATCCATCGCCAATTTTGTTCATCCAAACATTTGGCTCTTCAACTTTTCACCAACTAATGGAATTGTAAACATAAATCGATCAACATAATCCATCACGCAAACAAGCATTTGGTAAAAATATGATCCCCTGCACCTTTAGTTCGATATTCAGAGTTAGTTTTCTGAAATAGAAACTATCATTGTTGCTGAAGTGAAAAGATGAACTTTAACTGATTCTGGCTGTGAAGAATATGAGGTTTCCCTGCAATATTTTCATCAGTACCTTTACCGGGGTAGTACGAGAAATAAGCTATAATGCCCATATTTGATAAGCCCCAAACCGAGAAGCTTGTTGAACACAGCCTGGAAATCAGACTTCTAAGCCAGAAAACAGAGTAACAGGGGAATAGAAGGATGGTTCGGAGTGCAACTTCAACACCACGCGCGGGGAAGAGGCTCAACCGAATTCAAGGTAGCAACCCGACCACGATTGAGGTGATGACTCAATCGATACAAGGCTCGCTCGTTGTTGGCGATTTGAACCAAGCAACAAGGACAATCCACGAGTTAAAAACTCAATGAACAAGTTCTTAATTGATTGACGTCTAACCATTACAATGGAGTTTGTAGGTCTTTAAATAAGCAAACTAAAACCTAATTCGAGTACAAAACAAACAAGGAAAGCTAATTAATCCTACTACGTCTAAAGGTAACAAACCCAAACAGAAAAGGAATCCCAACTCGTCCATAAAACCCAAAACTTGTAGCTCACGTAAGCTGCCTCCAAAACAGGTTCCATAGCAACTTTGACCCCCACGTTCACATGCCTCCAGGTCTCCATATCCTTAGCCAATACCTTGCTTCTGTAGACAAACAAACACACTTTCATGTGGTACAAAGATCCTTTCCTGATTCGAACCCATCTTCCCTGAATGGAGCTCCAAAGTGACCTTCCTGACCATGCCTCCAGACTTAGCCAAATTCTGGCAGTTTGACAGTTTTGAGACAGCTACTTTGAGGCCTTGAAACACAGTCTTAACGATCTTGTATGAACCCAAATCCCATGCCATCTTGCAGAGGAAGTGTTTATCTTTAAAAAAACATCTTAACCTTGAATTTCTATCAACCCAATTGGAAGGTTCGAACTTGCAAAGTCGGCCACCTGAACTCATCATAAATACTTAGCCAAAAATTCAGATTGTGCAAATGAGTTAGCTTAGCTTCTTGAACGAACAATTCTAACTTGGAATGGAAGCAATCCAAGGTCATATCAGGCTCTCCCTCTTCAAAAAGCTTTGCCCTCAAAGCTGGCTCTTTCTTCTTCTCAAAATCTGCACAAAACTGAGTCCAAATCGGGTCAAAATATGGCATCCCAAACTCCATTTTCTGCAATTCAAGAACATTGTTCTTGAGCAACTGAATTGGGGCTTTTCAATTCAGGTCTTGCCAATCTAATTCAGTGCTCCCACGAGGTTGATCACACCTCCAATCGACTTCCTGAACCGGCATCGGGCCCCGATTCGCCGCCGTTCGTAGCGACCCAGTGCCTTGACCATTCCCGCCAACGCACACCTTCAAAATCACATTTCCCAGAAGATGCAATCCAAAATTGGGGGTTTTAATCTCAAGTATTCCCACTCCAATGCGAGCATTCTTACAGCTACCTCGGGCATCTCGAAGTAGTTTTGCAGTGCCCTTTGACGTCGAATCACGCCCAGTCGCCCCACCCCATTCATCGGTTTTGCTGCCTTGTTCCTGCGAGTTCAGAGGTAGATGAACTCGAATTGATTCGTGCAATTGGAGTATGTTCGCGTCGAACCTGCAATTGGAGAAGAATTTCGGGTCCTCCTGGAAGGTGTCGACGGCATTAGGAACACTCGACGTTGCACGAGCAGCTCCAGCCCATTGCCCCTCTCCTACTCTGCTCGGTCGACACAAAACAGAGTCGTTGACGCTCTGGCAGCGGGTGAGAATTTCGCTTGCTGAAGGCAGTGAGCATGAACCTCCGCGCTGTTAGCCCATCTTCAACACGCTGCTCAGCTTGAGATTGAGCTTTTCCCTCGGTGTCTCGGCCCCGGCTCGCCATCATTTGTTGCTGATCAATTCGGACCTCTGCCGGGGTTAACGGTTTGAGTAGAAAATTACGCTCGCGATGCTTGAATCTATATGAATTACCTCGGCCATCATGAACGACCCCACGATCGTACTGCCAAGGACGTCCTAACAAGAGGTGTGCGGCTTGCATCGGAGCTACATCGCACCATAATTCATCCTCGTACTCGCCGATTTTGAAGTGAACTTTCTCTTGTTTGTTCACTTTCAACGTCCCGTACTCGTTTAACCAATGCAGGCTGTAGGGTTGGGAACGCTTAATCATTGCTAGCCCGAGCTTCTTAACGGCATCAAGGCTGATGACGTTTGTGCAGCTGCCTCCGTCAATTACAACGGATAATAACTTCCCGTCAATTGCACAACGGGTGTGAAAAAGGTTGTCTCGTTGTTCTTCGTTGGCCAGAGAATCCAAGGTGAGTACTCGACGATTTACCCCGAGAAACTTACCTGAAGGTGGGATTTCGGCTTCAATTGATTCGTCGACTTCGGAGTCAGACCCACTCCCTTCACTGCCATTTTCCTCTGCTTCATCGTCGGTTACGTACTCCCCATTGCGCAGCACCAGGGCCTTCTTGTTTGGACACTGGTTGGCCTTGTGGCCTCTGCCGAAACACTTAAAGCATTGGATGTTGCTCGTCGATCCTCCCGGCTTCTCTTGACTCGTCGGAACAGTAGTGCGGGGTGTAGATTTGGGCCCTTCCAATCTGGCCGGTTCCGAATTCATCACAGGAACGTGCTCTGAATTAGTCTTCGAGTACCTCCTCCCTGCACTTGCTCGTTGCTGCCGTTCCACCTTAATTGCAAGGTGTACAACTTCTTCCAGCTCGACGAAGGGTCGCAGCTCAACCTCGAGTTTAATTTCGCGATTCATCCCATGAAGGAACCGTGCAATAGTAGCTTCTTTATCTTCCCGGACATCAGCACGCATCATGAGGAGCTCAAGCTCTCGATAGTACTCGTCAATGGATTTTGAACCCTGCCGTAACTGCTGCAGTGACTCAAACAGATCGCGTTGATAGTATCCCGGCACAAAACTTTCTCGCAGTAAACCTCTCAGCTCCGTCCAAGTTGTGACTTCAGGTTGTAAATTCCTACGACGGTGGAGCTGGGTTTTCTCCCACCATTGTGCGGCATAGTCGGTGAATTCGTACGTCGCAAGAAGTACTTTCTGGGATTCGCTGTAATCGCCGCATTGAAAGAAAAGCATGATCTTTCTTTCCCAATCGAGATACACTGAGGCGCTGTTTGTGCCCGAGAACGATGGGACTTGTAGCTTCACGCCTCGCAGATCAGCAACGCCACCGCTGCCGCAGCTGCTAGCTGAACGTCGTGATCACCCTGAAGCAGTTCCTGTTCGAGGTTCTGTTCTGCAACGACCCTCTGCTGTCGAACAGGGGCGTCCACCGTTGCTCTCAATTCAGTCAGTTGTCGATTATATGATCGAACTGAGCTTGAAACGCGGCATTCTGCTGCGCCATCATAGTTCGAAGCAGGTCCAAGGTATTAGTTTGGTCCGCCATTGCTGAATCAGCGTGTGACGTGGACTCCTTCTCCAAAACGGACTCTGCCGCGAGCGACCGTTCTTTGTTAGGGAAACCCAGAACAACCGCCTGCTTCTTCGAAACCTTCTGTCCCACTACCAAGACAGCAGCAGGATCGCACTCTACAGGGCCCTTTGATCGGGTCCACCTCGTCGTACCCGCGCCGCCTTCTATTGATGAACTCGTCGTCTCTGCCACCGCGGAAGAATCGTCACACGGCCACTGAGTTGAACCGGGCTCACGATACCACTTGATAAGCCCCAAACCGAGAAGCTTGTTGAACACAGCCTGGAAATCATACTTCTAAGCCAGAAAACAGAGTAACAGGGGAATAGAAGGATGGTTCGGAGTGCAACTTCAACACCACGCGCGGGGAAGAGGCTCAACCGAATTCAAGGTAGCAACCCGACCACGATTGAGGTGATGACTCAATTGATACAAGGCTCGCTCGTTGTTGGCGATTTGAACCAAGCAACAAGGACAATCCACGAGTTAAAAACTCAATGAACAAGTTCTTAATTGATTGACGTCTAACCATTACAATGGAGTTTGTAGGTCTTTAAATAAGCAAACTAAAACCTAATTCGAGTACAAAACAAACAAGGAAAGCTAATTAATCCTACTACGTCTAAAGGTAACAAACCCAAACAGAAAAGGAATCCCAACTCGTCCATAAAACCCAAAACTTGTAGCTCACGTAAGCTGCCTCCAAAACAGGTTCCATAGCAACTTTGACCCCCACGTTCACATGCCTCCAGGTCTCCATATCCTTAGCCAATACCTTGCTTCTGTAGACAAACAAACACACTTTCATGTGGTACAAAGATCCTTTCCTGATTCGAACCCATCTTCCCTGAATGGAGCTCCAAAGTGACCTTCCTGACCATGCCTCCAGACTTAGCCAAATTCTGGCAGTTTGACAGTTTTGAGACAGCTACTTTGAGGCCTTGAAACACAGTCTTAACGATCTTGTATGAACCCAAATCCCATGCCATCTTGCAGAGGAAGTGTTTATCTTTAAAAAAACATCTTAACCTTGAATTTCTATCAACCCAATTGGAAGGTTCGAACTTGCAAAGTCGGCCACCTGAACTCATCATAATACTTAGCCAAAAATTCAGATTGTGCAAATGAGTTAGCTTAGCTTCTTGAACGAACAATTCTAACTTGGAATGGAAGCAATCCAAGGTCATATCAATATTCATATGAAACCCTACTCAGTATGTGGCATGGAATGAGTAATCTTAATATTTTAACTTCCTTTCCCTGTGTGCTGTGCAGGCAGTAACCAATCTTCTTTATAATGAGAGTGTATCAGATATTGACCGCCTGCGCCTAGTGATGTTGTACGCTTTACGTTATGAGAAGGAAAGTTATGTTCAGTTAATGCAGCTATTCAATAAGCTTGCATCTCGAACTGCAAAGTACAAGCCAGGGGTAATGTGCACTATTTTTATCTTTTGCAAATCAAGTGTCTGTGATATAAATGTAATTGACTAGGTCGTGGTTATTGTCTGATTGTTGTTTTTTTTTATAATGGTATTGTCTGATTGTTGTGTTGCTGTGCATGAAATGAGGGTTAGGTATAGTATGTTGTTTGCCAGCAGTGGTTGAGTATGCATACAAACTTATATTTGTATCAACCCTGGGACTTGCAGCTTGTGCAATTCCTACTTAAGCAAGCTGGTGTAGATAAGCGGACTGGCGATCTGTTTGGGACTCGGGACTTCTTGAATATAGCTCGTAACATGGCTCGTGGTCTGAAGGTGCAGAGCGGAGACATAATCCTCTTTCCGAAATCGCTTTGTTAATGACATCTGTGGGCTTATAGTTTTCTTTCTTCTGTTCTACTCCAGGGAGTTGAAAATGTATACACACAGCACCAACCTCTTCTGTTCCAAACAATGGAAAACATAATCAAGGGACGGCTGAGGGATGTAGACTACCCATTTGTTGGTAATCATTTCCAACAGGGGAGGTTCGTTTCTCAGCTCCTTTCCTTCTCATATGCGATGTCAAGCTGAAGACTGAAACTTTATATTGCATAGAACACAAGATAACTAGATTAATCATCCAATCTCTTGCTAGTCCACTGTTTTAAGTTGCAAACTGAGACATAATCACATTCTTTGGTTAACTATCACCATGGAGGAAAGAGTCTAGTGTATGCTAGTATGTCTTGTTCCCTTCATACGGACATTTCTACCAAAGTCTCTTGTAGCACTACATAAAAAATCCCTTGTAGCGACATTTTTATCACGGTAATTTTGAAAAATGTCGTTCGAATGTGAGAGACAAAAAGTTGTGCCGTCACTTTATTGAAATGTCGATAAAACATATTTTAAAGCGATGTATGTTGCGATATTTTTTGTAAATGCCGGAACAAGATGAGTGTGTGGCGTCATTTACAAAAAATGTCATAATACCTATATTTTGTAGCGACATAAGTAACGACAATCATAGAGAATGTTGGTTAATCAATAAACCAGATGAGGATACAACGTCATATGCAAAAAATGTTGAAACAACTAGTAATTACACCCTAGTAACGACATTTTTATCACGACAATTTTGAAAAATGTCTATCTAATGTGGAGACTAAATAATTATGTTGTCATTTATAAAAAATGTCAAAAAAAAAAATTATAGCGACATATATAACGATAGTTTTTCAAAATGTCGGTTGATCATCAAATTGGATGAATGTATGGCGTCATTCATAAAAAAACGTCAGAGTAAATATATTTTTCCGTGACATAAGTTACGATAATTTTGAAAAATGTTGGTTAATTCGCAATCTAGATGAGTGTGTTTCGTCATTTACAAAAAATATCGGAATAAACAAGTTGGATTGGTGTTATCCGACATTTATAAAAAAATGTCGGATTATTTATATTTTATATGACATATATTATATTATGACTACTTTTACAAATGTCGTTTAAATTTGAAAGTTGGATAATAATATATATTTTAGCGACATATATTATTGACACTTGTAGTCGTGGCCGTAACTATTTCAATACTTTAAAACATATCCAAATATTGACACTTTATAACAATATATATTACAACCACTTTTGCTAAGGTAGCTTAAATCCAAATATTGAAAAAACATGCAATCATTTACAAAATATAACTAACATTTATACATTTTAGAAACATATATTATTCATACTTCTAAATTCTAATTCAATATATTATTCATACTTCTAAATTCTAATTCAATATCCGGTCCATATATACATACATCAATTAAAAACAGTAGTGATGATTACAAAAAAAAAAAAAAAACAGTAATGATCGAGTACATTAGAAAACTTCCTAATGTCTGTATGACACTCTTCTGTACGTTTCAATCTCCAAATTAACCCTTAATATAATGAATTCCATCAGCATTTAATTTAATTTATTTTCTTTTAGCGTTATTCCCTATGCGAAGCGGGAAAATTTCCCACCGAGCGCGCGGAAACTTCATCATCTTCTCGCTGCCGCGGACACAGAGAGTTTTGCTTCCTGCTTTTCTTGTCGGTTCCTCTTCTCGTCGGCGACATCGAAGGCTATCAACCGAAAACCAATCGATCAAACCAATTGATAGAGTGGTTGCAGATGATTGGTTTAGGAAACTGAAATTCCAACTACTACCAAGAGCAGATAGGGCGCAGCGCCGAGTTTGCTTTGGAGGGGTGTAGTAGCAGCAGTATCAGGTCAATCCCTTTGGGAAGTTGAGGTTGCAAATAGCACCCTGATCGATCGATTTGTTTTTCATCTGCGAGGAAGCTTTGAAGAGCTGGGTGGGGTTTGTGGTTTTGGTTTACATCTGTGGGCTTTGAATTGTTTTGTTTTGTTTCTTCCCACCGCCCGAACCAAGTTTCTTTGGGGTTTCCTTCCTCTAGTCAGCAGTATCGATTTGTTTTTCAATCTGGCTCTCTTGCTGCCGCATGCAGTAAACTGAGAAGAGGAGAATCGCTCTATTGGATTGAAGCTAGTTGAAGTCCAGCCGGCCTTCAACTTGGATCCTTTCAGTTGGGGAGTACGCCACAAGCTGCTAATCCCCTTCCAATTGCAACTCAGAGAGGTTTTCTTTCTGTCCATTAAAGTTTTTCTTCCTTCTTGGTTAGAGCAACCAGCTAGCACAGCTACGAGATCAGATTCCAAGATCTACAGATTCGCAGCGTTAGAGAACTCGCATCGTGATATCTGTTCGCTCCTTCTACGTGAGAATTCTGGACGAGCTTTCAATTCCTTCTTCTTTGTTGCTTGCTCTGACTAGAGGGTTTATTTTTTTGCTGTTCGTTTCTTTGGGGTTTCCTTCCTCCAACAATTCAATGCTCATGGGAAGTTGATGCAAAGGGTGAGTACGCGGCTCTCTGCAAGTACCTATGGAGAAGATGATCTGATGAGCCTCATTCAAACGTATGTATAGACAGCAACTCGAACTTGCTTTTTCCTTACATTTACTCGAGTGGCTCTGCTCAGCTCATCAATCTATTTATGGTTTGAATGTATGTAATATTGACATAAATCTATTTATCGCGTAGGGGTATGAATTATCTACACGAGACCAGACCAGAACCAATAATTCACCGTGACTTTGAGCCTTCGTGAGTTTTCTTCACTTGGACTTCTATGTGTCTTTAACATGTTTGATGTGGATATACTGATACATCAGTTTAATCTTGTGTAAAATTCATTAGCTTCCTCAATTTTCTGAATCTGCCAGCACCATTTTCATTTTGCTTATGAGCAAGATAACAGAAATATATTGCGGGATGACTCAGGACATCTCAAAGTTGTAGACTTTGGTGTTAGCAAATTGCTAACATTGAAAGAAAAGAAGCCTCTAACTTGCCAGGATACTTCTTGTAAGTGCCTGCCTAATGCTGCTACATCTGCTGGCTTAAGATAGGAGTAGCAATATTCAGTCCCTTTCACTGAACATTCTTGATTGTTAGCCACTGTAATAAAAGGATGTATATTTCATTGACAGGTCGTTATATGGCCCCAGAGGTTTTCAGAAATGAAGAATATGGTACCAAAGTGGACGTCTTTTCGTTTGCATTAATACTACAAGAGGCAAGTACTTGTGATTATTTGATGTTAGGATGTGTGTCTTTACTTCTTTGAGGAACTCTGCTTAGATATGTTGAATATAATGTGCATCTGATTCCTATACTTGAACTAAGTACCTTTTGATAAACAATGTTTTGATAAACAAGTAGTCTTCCCTAGAGTTGTATTCTTAGACTGCTTAGAGTTTAGAGAATGAGGTAATCTATTGCCAGAGAAATGAGTCTTGTATTACCAAGTCACTGTTGTTTTAGCTTCGTTCTACTTTTATTTTGTGTGTGTTAAAGATTCCTACTTCGTTATCTACTGCCCTGAGTATGCTGCATTTACCCTGAGTTCATGTAGATGCACAGAAATATGATTTACCATTCAATATTGATAACTAAAATTTTAAGGAAACTAATGAATATTTCTGTGATGGTTTTTGAAGTAAATGATTACAGTTTTCATAGTGGTCACCACCTTTCAAGTTTCAAGGTCTCTCTTAACAGCCAGACATGGGTTTTCTTCAATTCTGTATGACGTTACCCAGCATGCAAGGTTGGAATTAATGTTACAAAAAATTTATTTTCTTTCAAATCCTTAGGATGAGATTTATTTGTGCAGGCCACAGGATGTGATTATTTTCATTGTTGGTGGGACGACGTATGAGGAGTCACGTTCTGTAGCTCTGCAAAATGCTGTGCATACTGGCGTTCGTTTTACACTTGGTGGTTCTGTAGTTCTCAACTCCAAAAGGTATGATATTCTTAAACCACATTCAGATGGGTCTGTGCTTTATTATCAGCTAGTAAAAAAAATAGATTGAGAGATACACAAGAGTTATATTTCGATGCAAATCATCTTCTTCCGTGTTGATCAGATACTGTCATTTGCTTATCAGTACGTCTTATTAATTGTGGTGTGGGGGAATGCAGGTTTATAAGGGACCTGGAAGAAGCACAGAGAATAGCTAAATCTAGCACAAATGTCGTTTGAAAAGTTTTACTTCCACCCTCATTCTAGCCTCTTCTCATTCATGTAAATAAACGAAAAGAGGAGTCGAGGCCAGGCGGGTTATGGAGAGGAGGGTGGTGGGTTCTTGTTGTTAAGCTTTGAAGAGGGGTATGAAACAACGTTTCTCATTAATTTCAACGTTAGTATCATTAACCTGGTCGACGATATTATTAGAAGAAACTAAGGTGTAACCTACTACATATCATAGGAGGAAAAGAACATTGTAGCTTTGGCATGAGTAATGTGTAATTGTGTATTACTATCGTGGTATCAAGTACAGTTACTGCAAGCTTCTTTATCTGAACAGTCTGCTCTGGAAATGTATCGCTATAGTGGGATTCTAATTGCGGTTTACTTCAGCGTTGAAATACACATCAGGGCCAACCCGACGATTAGAAAAAAAAGACCAAGTTACTCAAACTGAAACAAAGCAAACAAACCACAACCTCGTCATAAACATCGGGTCTCAGTGGCAGATCCAAAATTTTTACGTGTTTCATAATATGGAGAAATTGCAAAATACATCTGTGTCTAACACTGCTTTACAAATCTTTTTTGATATATCCTATTAGACAAGGGGTGCCCGTAATTGGGTTGTAATTATTAGCTTTAGAAAATAAATAAGGATAAGGAATAACTTTTTACTATTATATTTATTGGATTTGAAATACAAGAACAAATGAGTTATAGTCTAATGAAAAGTATGTTTATTGATAGTAGCAGTGACCCGAGTTCAGATTACAAAAACTACCACTTAAATGTTTTTATTTACCCATACGCAAACTAATACTTGGGGTTGGATAATCATTTTTCAATTTTTAGGGTGTCCCACTTCCACTTAAATATTTTTCACCCATACACAAACTACTACCGGGATTTGAATAATCATTTTCCCAAATTTTAGGGGTGTCCCTGTATCTGCCAGTGGTCACACTCACATATGAACAAGTTCTGTTAGGTAACATTTCAGCTTATCGAGGCTACACCATATTACTGTTCGAGGTGGGCATCCATCGGTCCAGAATTAGATCGAGCCGAAATAGAATTGTATACAAGAATAAATCAATGAACAGGGTTTGTTCTAGTGGTAATACCACTAGTATAGAACTTTGTCCTAGATTTGAATCTCTTAAATAGTATAAAAGTAAAAATCTATATCACCCTTATAAAAAGAATGAAAAACAAAGTTTCGATCTTATCGTCTTAGTTGCATTGGTGTTGCTCAGGTACCATAGATTTTCCCTCCATATATACAGCTAGTTTGGTCATGTTATAACTTTTGCAGAAGCACCTTCTAGCTGGAATTTTTAGAGAAGTACTTTTAAAAAAAGAAGTTGATATTTGGCTGAAAAATTATAAGAAGTGCTTTTTAATATAAGAGGTCATGGAAAATGACTAAAAAAGATTGTCTAATATAAATATGAACAAAAAATAAAAAAAATTAAAAAGCAATAAAAATGGATATTGTTAGATTTCTTTGATATTAAATAATAATAATAATAATTTATTTTAAAATAATATAAACGAAATAAAATTATATATTCTAGAATAAAATTAAAATTTGATTAGGGAAATCTGGTATTATTAACACAACTTTTCACAAAAGTTTCAAATCGTAACTTCTGCTTATATGTTATACAAAAATATTTTTTATCTTTTCAAAAATCGAACTTTTAGTGCTTGACCTTGCTTCAACTTTTGAAGTAGAAAATTACTTTAAAAAACAGGGCAAGCATAGTAGTATCTCCATTCTCCAACCCAGCAACAATCATGGTGTGCCTCCATTCTGTCGGTCTCTAAAAAATAAATTTCAGGTACCAAAATGTAAAATAAAAAAATATAGGTACTAAACTGTAATTTTTCAACCATACATGAATTCACCGATCCAATTGGATTTAAATCATATGGATTGGATTTATGGCCTTGTATACTAATTGTCACCTCTAATCGTTTGCATCAATCCACCCTTATAGCTACGGCGAATGGTTTAAAGAAATTTTTTTTTCTGGAATTGTTGATCAATAATACAAAGAATAGGCTATTGTGATCGTATTCGTTTCGTTTATAGTCTTGTATACTTACTTACTTACTTAGTTGGTTGACCTGATATCTTAACATACGTAATTATAAGATTGATTGTGTGAATTTGATGATCACCAGAAGGCATCTCTATATCTAGTGTTCCTTTTTTCGAGGAATGAAAGGTGAATAGCTTTCTCTATTTAGAGTCATAAAATTCGAAGCCAACTTCCAAACTCACCTATATATATAATGGCTGCACGTACGTATGCATGTCAATTAATGCACAGTAATTAATAATTTCAGGTCAACGATTGAACCATTTTCCCAGATACCGCTTAAGCTCAAACCTCAGCGATCAAACCCATACTGCAGAATTCAGATCGAGAAGTTAAGCTAGTTATACTAAACGTTAGAGAAAATCGATTTCACAAGTCAATGAGCAGCCTGCATGAGAACAATTAATGATAACAGCTAACAAAATTCTTAAGTTAACACCTTTGATCAATATTCCGACTAACGTTAGTGACATTGATCATCGTTTTTCAGAGAGTGGCATCCATAACCAATTAACAATTAATATTCCCTAGCTAGTTATACAGTCTGACACCAATCCCAGCCCTGAATATAATCGATAACGCCCGTTGAATGTGCTAATAGACGAACTATCCTCCGGCTCCGGATACAGTGGCGGAAGCAGAATTGTTGAAGAGAGGTGTCGCCTAATGAAAGAGTATCGACTATAATTATTAAAGCACTATCGGAAATCTCGTATTAAATTTTTTGTACCAAAAAAATATAGGTTTTTCACAAAATTTTCTGGCATCTTCACCTAATGAAGGAGTATCGACTATAATTATTAAAGCAGTGATGGAAATCTCGTATTAAATTTTTTGTACAAAAAATATATAGGTTTTTCACAAAATTTTCAGGCGAATGGGACAGTGTCGGACGACACCCCTTTCCAACAAGTAGGTCCTCCACTATCTGGATATATGCGCAAATCTTTGTCGAGTAAGTTTGGGATTAGAACAGTGTTTGCAAAATCATATAAATGTTAGACGAGAAAAATCACCTACCAACATCCAAGTCGGTAAGCAGTTTTATAGATATAAATTGAAACACGATTAAACTACGAACATTGCATATATATGATGCGTTATCATGTCAACCACCTAACAGTTTCCTAGGTAGCAATGAACAAAATTAATAAAGTACGTTGGCAACCCAAATAGATGAACAATCCCAAAGACAATTCAAATCATTCACCAACCATCCACTCCACAGATCTGATAAAGATCACAAACCGAGGAAAAAATATCCCCCAACCAAAAAACAACAAACGAAACCAAACATCCATTAAACACCAACTTTGGTTTGATCACTTGAGAGGGATGAACCTGGAAGAGTGAGTAGCACCATGGCCAGGCCTGCCGTGCTTAATGGGCTTGTAAGTAATCGAAAACTCAGCCAAATAGTGACCAATCATCTCCGGCTTCACCTCGATCTGGTTGAACATCTTGCCGTTATAAATACCGATCACGCTTCCGATCATCTCGGGGACGATGATCATGTTGCGGAGGTGGGTCCTCACCGGCTGCGGCTTCTCCCCCGGCGTGGCCTCCCTCTTGGCCTTGCGGAGCTTCTTGATCAGCGCCATGGGCTTCCTCGTCAGCCCACGCTGGAACCTCCTCCGGGCCCGGGCCGTGAAGAGGGTCACCAGATCGTCGGTCGACATGTCGAGCAGCGCGTCCAGGTCCACGCCGCGGAAGCTGAATTTCTTGAACGTTCGGTTCTTCTTCGCCGCCGCCCCCATCTGGGCCGGGTTCACCAGAACCTCCTCCGACTCCATTTCCGCCTGCAAAAGGGTATGATGTAAAACCATTGATCAGCATGATTGTAAACATGGGAAAAGTATAGAGAGAGAGAGAGAGGAGGGAGAAAGAGTGCGGAGGGGCTAGTGAGCACCATGATTGCAGATCTCGAAAGAAAAAATAAAACCCTAATCGGCTGGTGTCTTTTTTTTTTTTTTTTTTGGTGTAGTTATGAATGGTTTCCAATTCTAGGTAGGGTTATAATTCTGGTGAGTATATATAGGGCGAGTTCGTGTGCCTTCGTGGGCCCATATTTCCATAGTTTTTTAGCGTACGTTTGTGAAACAATTACTCCACAACGCACGAGAAATATAACAAGGAGACTAGTCACGGACCCGGTCAGTTGGCCGGTTTCAGTCGCCAATCACGTAAACAATCGTAGCAATTCGTGCAAAATACACATTCCTTTGGTCGTATTTGAAAATCTAAATTATTCAATTACTTAAAACATTTCAATTGATTGATAGAATAAGAAGTCTAAATTATTTAAATACTTCAATAATTCAAAACGATCAACATCATATTTTTTTGCGACATTCTAATAACTCATCAACTACAATACTCTTACAAAATTGAAAGACAAACTCCATGCAAGGAACCGACTCCTAAAGACGTTTTCAAATCACATTTTATTTAGGGCTCATTTACTTGTTGGATTTGAATATGACGGTTTTTAGTTTTGAAAATCTTTGGATTTATGATGGGTTTGTTACATTTTGTATTTGGAAGATAACATTGTTTGTTTAGTTATTTTTTATCATGGATTTAGTTGATTTTGTATTCTGGTCTCTAAATTTTGCCTTCCATAACCAAATACCAAATGAAATATTTTATTTGCAAATACATGGGGTCCACGGATTTGGAGCTAAAAAATTGGTCCAAATCCGTGGGCCCCACATATTTGTTTCCTTAACAAACAATGGATTTGCCCAAAAACATTATGGTTGGCATTTGGGAACCAAATCCAACTTCCAAATCCCATTAGCAAACAACACCTTAGTCGTCATCATTAGTGATTATTGCATGTTTTCTTTTCTTCATCAATAATAATGTCATCATCTCCATTCGTGATACATTTATTTGCATTATCAATATTCAATGGCCTCTTCCTTCTTATCTTGCATTTCATTGAGCCTTAAATTTCATGGTAAAATATTTACAAATACAAATCATCTTTTCATTGGAGTTGAATTTACCTCTTCCAAATTATGAATCCAGGATTTGTTCTTTGTGCACATAACTGGTATCGTTAGTTGGACATGGTCCTTCAGGTCTTTGAATGACACATGGACCATGAAATATAAAATTTGTAATGCTTCATAATATTTAGGATTTGCTTTAGGATCTAAGATTTTAGCAAATATTATTGAATATAGTTATGAAGGACCATATAATTTATCTTTTGCTACTAGGAAAATTAATAAATGAGCATAATGTAGCGATTTTGAAATTCAATTTCCATCACTCGAGAATGAAAGAAATAATATGGGTCTTTTTGTCTTAGGAACGATTTTGGAGCCAAGCATCATATATACCCCCTTGTCCCATCAAAGTGAGTATTTTTCTCCTTTCTTTTTATGGTTGTTACTCTTCATCTTGTGTATGCTATTATCTCTGTACTATCTAAGTCTTTGGCATCACAAGACTAATAATCTATTATGAAACAGTGAGCAACTACTGTTCACTTGAACATAAATATAGGAATCTTGACACGGGTACCTATTTAAATTGATAGGCATCTTTACCATGTGTATCTGCAGAGTATTACAGTGAACAGATGAATACTTCCTGTTGATCCAGCACGATCACAGAATCATGGGACTTTTTTATATCGAGACAACATATGCCTTCCTTGTGGAAGAGGCTTATAATCAGTGTGTCCTCGTTGTAAGTAACATGTCCTCCCATAGCATATTGAATCCATAGGAAGCAATTAGGTAAAGCATTGAAAAAGTTGAACTCACTCATGGTTAAAGTTAGTTTCTGCAACCATGACATATAAGTTGCTTGTGGATGATATTTTCTGTGTGCTAAAAACCAATAACATATTATATATTTTAATTTTCACGTTACAACAATAGTTTAACAATTTGCAATTCCGACAATCAGTAGGGAGCACCAATGTTACCTTGTCAGTTCCAAGTTTGCAAATTTCTACTATGGAAGGCTTGGCTTGCCATGAAAATTCTAAGACGGGTATTGGAGAATTGGTTTTGTTTATTCTTGCTTTACACTAACCTTACTTACCAATGTGGATTGACTTTCATATGTAGTGATTCTCAGCTACTTCCTATCGCGACCTTCAATTTTGTCGGTGGTGCTTCTCTAGTACTAACACCAGAGGAGTATCTTATCCAATATGTTGTAAGTTATTATGTGCAAACCTGAGTCGTCTTATTCGTTTTCCTTATCCATTGGAATGCACTTGTTTTGACCTTCACAATGTCTGATACACCATTGACCATACTTACTTGTAGTGGGATGTAGATGGTATGTGTTGCCTAGGATTTGAGAAGAATCCAAGGCTGGCAATTTTGGAAGGTTAGCAATTATCCAATCCACTTATATTTCTTTTTGGAATTCAGATGTCTTTCAGCTAGTTGTCTTGGAGCTATCAGATTGTGAGTCCTGGCTTGTTTTAAGAATGTTATATAACATATTATATGTTTTCAATTTGAGGTTATAGCAGCAGTTTCACAATATGCAATTCCGACAATCAATAGGGAGATCCAGTGTTACCTTGTCAGTTCTAGGTTTGAAAATATCTACTATGCAAGGCTTGGCTTGCCATGAAAATTCTAAGATGGGTATTGGAGAATTGGTTTTGTTTATTCTTGCTTCACACTGACCTCGCTTCCCAATGTGGATTGACTTTCATATGTAGTGATTCTCAGCTACTTCCTATCGCGACCTTCAATTTTGCCGGTGGTGCTTCTCTAGTACTAAAACCAGAGGAGTATCTTATCCAATCTGTTGTAAGTTGTAATGTGCAAACCTGAGCCATCTGATTCTTTTTCCTTATTCATTGGAATTCACTTGTTTCGACCCCACAATGTCTGATACACCATTGGACATACTTCTTTGTAGTGGGATGTAGTTGGTAGGTGGTGCCTAGGATTTGGGAAGAATCCAAGGGCGACAATTTTGCGAGGTTAACGATTCTCCAACCCACTTTATTTTTCTTTTTGGAATTCAGATGTCTTTCAGTCAGAGTTCTTGGAGCTATCAGATTGTGGGTTCTAGCTTGTTTTAAGAATGTTATATAACATATTATATGTTTTGCATTTCAGGTTACAACAGTAGTTTCACAATTCGCAATACAATCAGTAGGGAGCACCATGTTACCTTGTGTTGTTCCAGGGTTGAAAATTTATACTATGAAAGGCTTGGCTTGTCATTGAAATTTTGAGATGGGTATTGGAGAATTGGTATTGTTTCTTCTTACTTCACGCTGACCTTACTTACCAATGTGGTTTGACTTTCATATGCAGTGTTTGTCAACTGTTTCCCGTCGTGAGCTTCGATTTTACAGGTGGTGCTTCTCCATTACTAACACTAGAGCAGTACCTTAGCCAACATGTTGAAAGTTATTATGTGCAAACCTAAGCCATATCATTCTTTTTCCTTATTCATTGGAATTCACTTGTTTTGACCCCCACAATTCTAATATACCAATGGCCATACTTCCTTGTATTGGGACGTAGGTAGTATGTGGTGCCTAGGATTTGGGAAGAATCCAACACTGACAATTTTGGGAGGTTAACGATTGTTCAACCCACTTATCGTTCTTTTTGGAATTCAAATGTCTTTCAGTTAGTTATAATAGAATATCGCTATTCGTGAAACGGAAGTCGTAAGAATTGCATTCACATCAATTTAATCCTAGACTTTTCTCCGAGCCATCTTTTTCTCATGCAATTTGAGCTTATATAAATGTAGGAGATATGAAGCAGAATAAGAGCAGTCTAGTGGTCTTTCAATTGCATTCAAATATAGTCTCGCCTCCTCGCAATAAGCTTGTCAGAGTGGATGTTTTGCTACTTCTATACGCATCCAACGATCATGAAAATGTGAAAAGTGAAATCCAACGATTATAAATGCATGCTGACAAAAGGTAGTGATGGCAATTTCTAACCTGTCCTGACCTTTTTTGGCGGATATTACTCGACCCGCATTAGCATTAGGCAAGGTATGAGTATTGTTTGTGACTAACCCTACCCCGCCCCATTCTTGACTCGTTCTAGTATGATTTGTATCAATATTTATACGTATATATTTCCCCTCTTTTAACCTTTCTAAAATCATATTTTCGGCCAAAAAGAAATTTTAAGACTCTATCTTTTAACTATTGACTCAATTATTCCTTCTATTATATTTATCATTTGTTTATGAAATGTTTTCTTTATTTGTTCAGTTAAATATTGACTTTGAATAACATATAAGAATAGGTCGGCCCACCCTACTAGTATCTGCACGAGTATTATCCGAAGTGACCCCGCTTAATGTGGAACTGGAATGAGTATTGAATTACTCGCCGTGCTCGGCTCCATTACCATCACTAAGAGGTCATTTGGAGAAAAGAATTTCAGTCATGGATTCACTAAATTCGTAGATTTTGTGAAAAATTATGTCTTTTTGTTACTATTTGTATTGTGGATTTCATCTTTAGAGATTTCTAATTACTAAAATCTGCGGATATCAAATCTCGTATAATCAGAGAGATTTCATATCTTGATTAGTGAGATTTTTTCCCCTTCTACGGTGCTACTTTGATCCTTCTCTTTTCATATATTTATCATTGAATATACGTACAAATAAATTATCAATATTTCTCGAAACACACTAATTTTTTTTATTAAGGATAGAAATATCATTTAATATAAAATTTCTCTTTTTATTTTTATTTAATGTTAATAATGAAAGTTATCAAACAATACATTTAAAAAAAAAATTGACAACATTTGGATTGTTTCCAATATATAGATTTAGACCGCAGACTTGGAGAATATTTGACTGGTTTTGGGCCGAGTTGGAGTAGCCTGGCCCGAATCTCTCTACTCATCAGTGGGCAGTGACGGAAGTTCGGAAAAGGGGCAGCCGTGCCGGCTGCTGCAGGTGATTCATCCGATTAGGGTTTATTTATGCGCCTATATATTGAAACCTCCATCTGTTCTTCTCAATCAAGAATCCAAATCATATCCAGTTTTGCCTGTTCAATCTCCTATCGAAGGTATTGTTCGGCTTTGTGTTATTCAGCTTCATCAGCAATGGTCGATTTCTTGTTCTCAAATCTTTGTTTATGATGCGAATTAGTTTTAGGGGAGGCGCCTGCGGGGAAGCGATGAGGATATGCTTGAGAAAGTCATGCACCACTCTGATTTTAATGTGCTGAGACACTTCTCTTACCCATACAACATCTGAGCTTCCCCTTTCTTTCCCCTTCAAGTTTTCTCAGTTTTAAACAAACCAATGGCGGATAATTTGATTTTGGAATTGGAGGCGAAAACCAGGTGATGCGGGGCGGCGAAAACCTGCCCCGAACCATGATGCGGACCGTACAGCAGCTTCAACGCTGCTTCTGGGGATTCTTTTTTTAGGTTTCTGATGGTTTTCACCCCAATCCCCCTTTTGATGATTTCTGAATTTTGAATCAATTTTAGCTGTTGTGTTTTCAAATTAGGGTTTGGTTGTGGATGTGATGATACTTTCCCCAGATGATCGAAGCTGATTATACTGTGCGAAATTTATCTCCTATGGAGATATTCAAGCCTATGTTCTGATCCATTCCATGCTTTTGCATTAATTTATTTGTGCTTTGGTTCTTTGTTTTCCAATTGGGTAGAAGCTAAATGAAATTGGGTTGCTCTTCGTTTCCAGCTTGGATCCTACATCGATCTAGCTTGCTCAAATCAATGGCTGAGTTTTCCATTGTTGTAAGGTGAAAAGATGTCTCTTTTCTTTAGTAGAGTTCATTTGCCGGTGGATGGAGGTTGAGTATACTGTGTACAGGTTCGGCAGCTGAAAGAGTGAGATAGGATAGTGTTAGTTCGTTTGCAGAGATTAACTTGGTCTTCCTCCCCATTACCCATATAACAATTATACCCCGAGTTTCCATTGTTATTGTTTTGTTTGGAGACTTGGATAACTTAGCTTAATTGAGCAGACTTGATTGATTACATAGGAATGCTTCCATTGACCTCCTTCATTGCTGCTGTGATGAATTTAGATGTTATTTGGAATGGTTCTGTGTTGTTTCTTACTGCCAAATGTATCATGATTTATGTTTCTGTGTACACTTGCACCAGCCAGATATGTTGAGTACACATTTTCGTTGTAATTTCATAAATATCATATTACTTCCTTTTGTATTCGCTTCAAAGCAAAATTATGTTCAAAAGTACAACACCATTCTCCAGCTGATCCAGCAAGTGAGTTCTCTCATTCAATTAGAAACGGATGCTAATAATCCTTGCCTGTCAAGGATTACTCTGTCGTGTTGTTGCCTTCCACAACGGCTGTAGACAAAAATTGAGAAGCAAAATTTGAATCGGTTCTTACTGTGGTTGAGATATATGTTTAAAATTTGAAAGACTGTTGCTTTCGGTTCACCACACAGTCCACATAATCTTCGCTGAACAGCTCTTTCTTCGTCTACTATTCTGTACGTTATGTTCTAGTAATATGTGTTGTTGGCTTTATGGAACTTAGTGACATTGATGCCTGTCCCTGGACTAAACCAGACTTTAACTATACTATTAAAATCAACTCATCACACTTAAACAACACTGTATATGGGTAATTTCCATTGCATCATATATAACTCGATTGAATTGATGTGTGCAAAAAGAAAATCACAACTCATAGAACCCAAAATTTATCAATGATTGTTAGATTGTATGTGTTGAAAAATATTAGAGTTGCAAAATAAACTATAAATGTATTTCACAAAAATAAGAATATAAAAAAAATTGTTGCTTGTTGAAAAAACAAAACAATAAAGTTGTGTACTCTATGAATTAGATTTTTATGTCTTATTCTTATCGACTTACACACCTCTAACATTCCTAGGTTCGCCACCGAATACAATTGCATTTGCCAAAATGTGTACTAACTACCAGTTCTGTGACCAAATTGGTATCTAACATAATTCTCCACACCACACAAAACTGTGAGCTCCAAAAGAAATTGTAATATTCAGCCAAGGACTCCAAAGACCAAAAGAAATTGCGAGTTCCAGACCACACATCCTAGTAAAAGAAAAGTAAACGGATATTATCACAATGTCATCTTTGTTTCTCTTGCTGAGAAAACCACAAAACAACGCACTACCACCTTGGAATGGAACCCCACTACAAAGATCAACCAGAAGCACAGAACCTGGTCAAACTTTGCTAGTTGCTACTGTGTGGCTGTCGCCATGATTTCTCTAATCAGTGCAACAGAGTTATAATATCTACACCCTAGTCCAAACACTCATCAGAATTCCAACAGCTCCTTATTCCTTTCTCAGCTATATCTAACCAAACATAATTAAGCTTCTTATTATTGAGTCCAGAAACAAATATGGGAGACTCAGAGGGAGGAGACAAGTACAGAAGCCACTTGTCAGGGGAGGCAGAGAAGAACACCAAGTGGAGGAATGGTGCCCCTCCCAATTACGTCTCTGTCAACAAGCTCTTTGAAGAAGGAAGGACCAAGGCAAAATTACATTACCCAAAAATCCCCAACTGCTTCATCTCTCATTGATTATTTCTCATCCTCTGTCTTACTGGTGATCATGGAATTACCTCCTGATCTGTTTGTTCCATTGTATGCCAGGTGTGGCCTCCAGGATCCCTGGAAGAACAAGTCCAGAACATGGTCAAGACCTGGGAAATGGAGTTGTTCAACAAAACACGGCTTGCTGACCACAAGACCCTAGTCGATCCCAACACATACACCAAAACCCTCAATGGTAACCTCTCTCCTCCACCATAAACTTCTGTTAGACATGGATAAACTTTTTCCCTACTAATATCAAACCGAGGATACGAATACGTCTAAATCCTGGTTAGATCTAAAGATCTCGTGCTCAAATCTTTACGATTCTTGATAGTTGTGACTTGTGACTGGGTTAGCTACAGATATAGTACTACTAGAATGTGAATGGTATTATGTATATAAATTAATTAGTTTGAGTTTCATTATTCCTTGTTCTAGAAGTTTTGTGTCTTCCAAATTAATATGCAGAGTCTGTGTTATATGTAAACATTTGTATGGTTTTGTTAATATATAATACGCATAGTTTTCATAAAATTCTAATTTGTTGGCAGTTACTGAAATGTTTTTTTGGCAAACCCTTTGAACGGTGGTTAGGAAGGAAGCCGATAACCCTGGAAGAGACTCGGAAGATAGGAGGCGGCTACAATTCATTTTTGCAGACATCCTTGCCGGAAGAGCTAAGAGGCTACAACCCTGCGGCGGAGACAGCGGAATCAGCTCATCTGGCCTTCACAACGACATTCCCTCGTGGGTTTGCTCTGGAAGTGCTCCAAGTTTACTCTGGCCCGCCGGTGATTGCCTACAAGTTCAGGCACTGGGGGTACATGGAGGGTCCTTTCCAAGGGTACCCTCCAACGGGAGAGCTGGTGGAGTTCTTTGGGATAGGAATCTTTCATGTGGATGAGAAGGTGAGGGTGGAGAGAGTCGAGTTCTTTTTCGATCGTGGAGAGTTGCTGGGCGGGCTTATGAGAGGTGGCAAAGGCTCGGGTGGTTCTATGTCTACTAGTACTGGAGCTCCAAGTCCAAGCTGCCCTTTCTTGGCATCGAAATGAACTTGTTAAGAAACGTCCGGACACAAAAGGGCCACTTGTATCTCTCAGCATGACCATGAAGGAAAAGGTCACCAAGCGAAGAAATTTGATTCATGCGAGTATCCATACGCCTATAATTAAAATATGACAAGAGCATGTTAAAACTTAAGGTCGTTGAGTGTTTTGTCTATCATTTTGTCATGACTACTGAGCTCCGATCTTTGCGTTTTGGCTTGATTGATAGATGTATGATACGGGTATGTTTTGTTATGAACTCACGAGGGTATGGTTTTCTCACTCAACTATGAATTGACATCTTTTTTTTACTCTGCTTATGTCATGTGTAAGTAGATCATTAGCAACAACAGTAGCTAAATACTTGGGAGCGGACATTTCTAGAAGTTGAAGGCAGGATGGGATATGGTTTTCGACTATTTTGTACTTGGATGACTACTTAGAATTTTGGTTAGTAATCTCACACTCTTTTTTTCTAAAATGTTTAGAAAACCTTCTATATATGTATATATTAGCTTTTCATATAGAGTGGCATCCATGTGAGGGAAATTATGAGTATGCATATATTTGTAGTTACATATATGTATTGTTATGTATGCATATCCATAGATGCAGCGAACCCGTTAATTATGTTGCATGTTTAATTAAAAAAACAGATAGCCCATTACCCAAGCTGTTCATGATGAAATTAACTATGTTAGTTTGCAATTTAATGTAACACTAACATCCATGTTATATTCCGTGTAATTGTAGAATCAGATAAGATGTACAGGGTAGAGGTGTTACAATCAACAGATCACTTGTATTTTGTGGTTATAGGAAGTCTCTTGCTGTTGGTGTATGTGTCGATTTGGGTTTCTGTTTTGCCCTTTCCAACAGGGAAAGTAGCTCTGAGCTGCAATGAATTTGTTGTCTAGTTTTTTTTTTTTTTATACACGTCACGAGTAGAGTATTATGTCACCCAATTCGCGTAAACTGGGCTGGCGCTCCCGCGCTAGATCGCTGAAACGCGAATTTTCAGTAAACCGTACAAAATTCGCGAATTAAGAATTGACACAACGCGGATTTCCGAATCAAGAGCGCGGATCCATCGGACGGTATGTCGGCAATCATTGTTTTTCAATGAAATTGACAGGGGAAGAAGACATATTTTCCCACCTGTCGATGTTATTCAATTCATTGAAGGGTCGGAAGATCTGGGCTGCAGTCTTTTGGATTCGTCGGATCTCAGCAACCCCATGCAAGCAATCGAGACTTTGTTTGTCTATCTCCCTGTGTTTTCCGGATGAATTGGGGAGGGTAAAGAAAATGCTACAAGGAGTAGCTGATATTTGATTCCGACGATGACGTCGTTGTGACAGAGGAACAGAGATAGTCATGTAAGGTTGGGGAGCTAAAGGCCTAAAGCGATGGAGGCCACTGAGTTACAGGGTGAAATCCAAAAGGCAACTGAAGAACAGGTGGTTAATTAGAGAGGAATGGGTCGATGGCGGCAGGGGAGGAAGGAGAATCGACATCGGAGAAAACGAAGAATGGGGGTGGAGATATGACCAGAGTCTAGAGAAAGAGGATGAGAGGAGAGACGAGTCCGGATCTGGTGACTAAGCCCCCCTCAACCTTTTGATTGATCTGATGGTCCAAATAAATCAACAAATTATTAAATAAAAAGGGTAGTTTTGGCATTATCAATAAATTATTAACTCCTATTTTTTGGTTTTGTTTTATTTATTATTATTGAATTCTTTTTTCCCCTCTGCAACACGTCTCCTCTCTTTCCCTTTTTTGCGATGTCCAGAGAGAGAGTCATGGCGGAGGACGAGAGAGAGAAAGAGAAAGGCGACGATCGATGTCGATGGAGAGAGAGATAGCGGCGGTGCTACGCTGGAGGAGAGAGAGGCGATGCCAACGCCGGCGATTATGGAGATCTCGACGGCAACGATGACAATGGAGATCTCGACGGCACCGAAGACGGTGGAGAGAGGGAAAGGAGATCGCGACAGAGGCGGCAGCCTTGGAGAGAGAGAAAGCAGATCTAACCGTCGTCGTCGGAAAATAGTGGAGAGAGAGAGAGATGGTGGTAGAGGAGAGAGGGGCGGCGGAGAGAGATCGTCGGCAAGGTGGAGGAGAGAGAGGCGGTGCGGCGATGGAGAGAGAGAGGTGGCAACGACAGTAGAGAGAGTAAGAGGCGGCGGCGGTGGAAAGACAGTCGACACGGCGGCAACAACGGTGGAGAGAGAGGGAAGAACATTGATTTTGTAATGCAAGTGTTGTCGGTTTGTATTGTTAGTATTTTTGTACATAATTTCAGTGTGATTTATATGGTTTGTATGTTTTGTAAAAAAACAAACATGATGAACAAAAATAACAAAGTTTACAAACATTACAAAAAAACCAACAAACATTACAAAATAACAAAGCTTACAAACATTACAAAATAAACCGACACTAAATAGTACAAACATAAGAATAAAAATGGATAAACTGGAATTACAAACCAATAAATACAAAGTATACAAAACCATACTAACCGTACAAAATACCACTACTTATAATACAAATCGATAAACTGGAATTACAAACCAATAAATACAAAGTATACAAAACAAATAAACAAACATTACAAATTACAATATATACAAATTAGTCATATAAACATTCCAACCATAAGAATAAAAATGACAAACTAGAATAATAAACGATACAAACCAATCAATACAAAGTATACAAATCATAACATAAAAGTATACAAACTAGACAAACAAACATTACAAATTACAATATATACAAAATAGTCATATAAACATTACAAATGTAATAGAGAAAGATGATAAACAAGAATAATAAACAATACAAACGAAATCGATATAAATATTACAAACCAGACTTATAAACATTACAAAATAGGTGGACAAACATCACAAAAACAACAATGTCGTCGGAAAATCATCGCATGCCATCTCCGGTCACCGGAAAGCCTCCTCCGCTGTCGGCGAAAATCTCTCTCTCTCTCTCTCCGCCAATAATTCCCATCACCAATTCACATAAACTAATTAATCATCAATGATTCACCACTTCCCAACATTAACTCAGTATTACTTTGTATTATTCATGATTTGACTTATTAATATTATTTAGTGTTTGTTTTTTATATGGAACTTAAAATCTATAATTTTACGATTCAAATTTTACCATAGTTCTTGATTTTACATAAAACCTCGACATTAACTGCATTGGTCATGGGGTGCAGTGGGAAAACTCTGTGGATTTCTTTGGACTTGGTTGGAGGTTGGAGGTATTGGAATTGTTTCAATATGATTTGTAGTGGAGTTTTTGCGATATGACCCCCAATTAGAAGAGAATCTCGAACTCGGACCGATGAATCAGAATTGCACAACGTGGAACTCTTTTTGGGTTTTCTCTTTTCTTCAATAACACGAAAATAAAGATAGTTTGCAGAAATCGATCAAATTATCCCGAACTTGTGGGAAGGGCAAATCAATATAGTCGAACTCGCCTGAAATAGATGTGATCTTCTAGTTGATAAGAGAAACTCAAACCTCCCGAATTCTCAAAGATTATTTTAGCATACGTTATCAAAAGAACTCGAGTAAACACGCATTATATTGGATAACTGAAATCTGCCTTTCATTACAGTGGTTCAGCCCATTCATATAGGCTAAGAATTCGAAAACCAAACTACAAAGGACAATATATCCCACTCTAAAAAGGATAAATAAACCTTAACAAATAAGTAAAAAACAAAGGCAAAATTCCCTTAATCCATGCCTTCAAATCCACCTCTTGTGTTCACACCTATGTTCATTTCACAATTATATTCCTTTCATACCATGGGAGGTTCTTCTAGGCCGAATCCACTTCTCCTTCTTCTAGGCTGATCTTCTCTTGAATCTGATCCACAAATCACAATAATGTAAAGAGTTTTCCTCCATGCAACTCCACGTTCATGCCTTCTAAATTCTTACCCAAATAACTTTCAACTAGTGTGGGCCCCGGCTAGTTGGCCGGAGGAAGGTGAGGTATGAAATTTGATAATGTAATGGGGTGTATAGCTTATTATTGTATAGTTTTTTTGGGAAACATGACTCACTCCTACTGTCACCCTAGTAGTATAGCGGGTCGGGTTTTAATGTCAACCCGGGTCCTAGATATGATGACTACTCGGTGAATTCTTGTTATTTAGCGGTGAACTTTTAGTGAAACTCAAACAAACAAAACACAAAGCAAGTAAACGGTTTGTTGTCAAGTCAAGAGAGGTCACCCGGATATGGTTTCCCCCTAGACTGCAGTTAAGTCGGATTGCATTTTACCAAGTTCAATTTCTATGATAGTTATACTGCGGAAGGTTCTTAAACAGCCTGAAGTCTCGACTAAAGGTCTTCAGACCCTCTCAATCTGACTCTCTAGCGGGCGACTAACCTCCACCGGAGTCGACAGATTGAGGCCCTAAGAACAAAACCTCCACTACCGGAGTAAATCCGGTACAGAATAGTGAGTTGGCTCCTCGACTAAAGTCACCAACTCCCTACCTTCAATCAAGGATACTCTATTAACCTAGGCAGATATTCTCATTCCAGGTCAAAGCAGAAACAACAGGAATTTGATCAGGATTCAAGTCATTCAATCAATCAAACCTCAATCGAATATAATCAATTCACAAACACTGGACTTGGGTTCATACAATCAGACCTAGCATACAAATCTAGGGTTCTCCATACCCAGATGAATGGGGAAACTACTCCATAGAGAAAGAAGCAAAAGCAGATTCAGACACGGAAATCATACTGTGAAGTTGGATTCCTGCTTCTGGACGTTTAATCGCACTTCTCCAAGCTCAAGACGGGCTCCAATGGTGTTGAAGATCGATCTATGGCGCTTGAGAACTCTGGTTCGACGCTTTCTCTCTCTAGGTATCGGTTTCTCTCTCAAAAACTCGGAACCCTTCAATGTTGGCTTTCTTCTCTCTTAAATCCTCTGCCTGGTCGCGATACCCGGTCAGAATACCCGGTCGGGTATTCTGGGTTGTGACCGGGTATTCTGCAGCACACCGTTTCACTAAAGAGGGAAATCCCCGGTCCAACACCAAAATCCCCGACCGGGGATTTAGCTGCTGTGCCCGGGCCCCTCGCTGCTTCTCGGGCGCCCAAAATTGGTTAATACCCGGTCGGGTATTTGGCCACCTGACCGGGTATTTTCCTCCTTCAGCCCTATTCGTCCCAACCTTGCTCCTTTCGGCCCAGAACTCGTTTCTCCGCCTCGATTCCAACGCCGGGACCTGAAATATGACATAAACACACAACCTAGCGTGAAATCGGCTTAAAACACGAGATTCCTCGTCGCAAACGGCCTCAGAATAGGGGTAAAAACATGTATAATTATCGGTCTATCAAACTCCCCCACACTTAACCGTTTGCTTGTCCCCAAGCAAACCAAGTCAGACACTAGG